GCCAGAGATCTGTTAGCATAGTTCTCCTTACAGAGAGCACTACTACTACTACTAGTACTAGTAGTTTATTTTTTATAGCCCGCCCATCTGGCTTGATTTCCCCAGCCACTCTGGGCGGCTCCCAACAGAATATTAAACAAAATAAAACTTCAAACATTAAAAACTATCACCATCCAGATGTTGGTGGATTGCAGCTTCCACAATTTCTGACCACTGACCATGCTAACAGTGTCCAACAACATCTGGAGGCTCACAGGTTCCCCATTCCTAATGGGGATGGGGATCAGCAAGATTACCACTCTCTCCTGTGAACTGACCTGAGATCTATGGGTATAAAGAGGTATACAAATTTTAATCATCATCATCATCTCTAAAATATATGAAGAGGATTAGTTCAGAATAGCAAATGATAAGAGTAACTGAATTAGAAATTTCTTTCTCGGTTACGCTTGTGTGACCTAAATAGATTAAAATATTGTTTCAAAGACTGCTGCTTCCAGAACGCAGTGTCATCTCAGTTGACAAGACAAACCTTCTGCCACTAGGTGGATATTTTCCAGTGCGCGAAACAACTAAGCTAGAGAAACTAAATATTAGGTGTTAACTCTCACAAAACCAGTTCTGCCAGCCTAAATGTGAAACACTTGGGAGGGTGTGTCCATTCTTAAAATGTGTCAGTGAAACTGCAAATAGTAGACAAGATGATCAAGAGTAAAATGAGGAGATTGTCACTGTCATTGTGATGGATTTTAATTGTAAGCTAAGAAGTGTGCATGCGCACAAAAGCTCATACCAATAACAAACTTAGTTGGTCTCTAAGGTGCTACTGGAAGGAATTTTTTTATTTCGTTTTGACTACGGCAGACCAAGACGGCTACCTACCTGTAACTAGCTGAAATAGTGAGATATAAATTAGAGGCAACAAAACTACAAAAATCCTGGTGTAGCAAGAATTTCAAATTATATTTAGAACCAATATAATTGAAGTCAAATGATACATTCAAAGTAAAAATATCTTCAAAAAGCACCCTAAACATCGCACAAAGACACCCCCCCATACATAGGGGTCTCTCTCTCCCTCCTGTGAACTGACCTGAGATCTATGGGTATAAAGAGGTATACAAATTTTAATCATCATCTCTAAGATATATGAAGAGGATTAGACAAGAATAGCAAATGATAAGAGTAACTGAATTGTTAAATTAGGAAGAAGCAGATTCCACTTCAGCATCTGCATGTGTATTGATAAGTCTTGGGTTGTATTTTATACTTTTGGAATGGGGTTATCTGCCCTTTATGCATAAAGAGCAGGATGCTGTGTTTGGTGCAACATTCATAAAGGGTGCACAACATCATTGCGGCTTCAGGGTCAATGGCAGGGTGTGCACAGACGGCTTCCAGTGACAGAAGAAACCATCGTGACTCTAGCAAGTGTTGTGCAAACACCTCTGCCGAAGGCCTTAAGAGACCTGCTTCCTGTCAGAACAGGCAATCCTGGGCTAGATGGACAAACAGGTCCTATGTATTAGCGCCACTGGTGGGTGGATGTGCTGGTTTCTAGGAACACTGGGTATCGGCCTACCCATGAACCTCCCTGAGGCGCCCATGTTGTGAGCACAGACTATGCATGGCTAAGATTCAAAATGCATGGAATGGTGCAAGGCTGCATGTTCAAACCCGAATCAGCAGCAACCTGAAAGGCAAGGGTTCTATTTAAATATGGGACACTTTGCCAAAGGATAACGAGCTCTCTTCCACACTTCTCTCAGGCTTGGCCTATATGCAGCAAGATAAGAGTGTAAGTTTTAATTTACAATTAAAAAAACCATGTAAAAAGGTTCCTCTAAGGTAAAAAAAACCACAAGTACAATAGAGAGAAAGGTTCTAGACCCAGCCTTTTCCCTGTTGTGCTCGTTTTCTAGAGCTTGCACAAAGTCCCATCCCCCCATTATTTCTGGGCAAGATTCAATGACTCTCCCCCAACTCCAAAACCCAGAAGTCAGCAGTATCAACCCAGCTATCTTTTTAAAATCTCTCCACTCAGATGTCTTGGCCACAAGGCCAGCTGCTGGAAATCACTGAGGAGTAGGTACCTTTCCTCTTCTTCTGTTGCTGGGGCCCCATATTTAATTGTGTTATTGCCTCTCTTGCAATTTGAAGTGCACACAGTCCATTCCATTTCTTCTGGACTCGGCACCACTTTCTATGGAAACGATAGAACATGCCTCAGCAGGCTCACTTTGGGGTGTAAATGAGGCTAGGGGCTCATTTACACCCCAAAGTGTAAGGGTACAACTCATCACTGATGTATCTTTGTTGCTGTTTAATAGACTGGGCATACCTTTTACATAGCTATTTAAGCCTTACAGGTATTTCAATGGTAGTCACAGGGTAGGACACAGTTGTGCAGTTATTGAGAATAAAGTTTAAATTGGGATCTCCCTCGACTGATCATGCCCTGTGGGGACATACACTTTTTCTGCGTCTGATCCTGATTTCCTCCTGCAGGATCCAGGTGCCTTTTTGGGGGGGCGGGGATGAGGCTTTGCACACGACAAGATGAACTGTAACACTAGTGGGCACTGCAGAAGAGGTTTCAGTCATTGATGAGGGATGACTGGGAGATACAACACACCCAAACAGTCTATAGGAAAGGGGTGGATCTAAATTCCTTCTCCTTTCAGTTTTGTTGCAAATGAGTTGAGGCTCTCAATATACTCAGTCAAGTATTAATTTCATGCTCTTTCTTTCAGCTCATAGGAACAGTGATTGAATCCCCCCCCCCCCGAAACCTCAGGCTTTATATACATTATTTACACAATGAGTACTGATTGGTTGATTATGTTTCCTGCTGCAGGCCAATCAGTTGTTGCATCCTAGTATCCTACCGGCCTAACAGGCTGACTAAATTCCCCCTGGGGTCTGATTGGGCTGCTCCTGCTGGCCAATCAGGTTGTTGCATTCTAGGATCCTATCTGCCTATAATTCTAGGATCCAATAGAAATAAATATCCAATAAAGAGCTTTTTCCTGTTTGCTGAGGGCTGCTCCTGCTGGCCAATCAGGTTGTTGCATTCTAGGATCCTATCTGCCTATAGTTCTAGGATCCAATAGAAATAAATATCCAATAAAGAGCTTTTTCCTGTTTGCTGAGGATAAAATGTTGACGGGGACTTGGGCTTTCTCTTTCTTTTGCAAATTAAGAGCCGCCTTTGTCCTGTGAATCAAGGGCAGCCCAGATAGCAGAATTTCATTTGTCCCCTTAGCAAAGGAGGGAAGTATGGAAGCATTTTGCTCAAACCCAGCTATTTCAGAGCAGGGCAGCAGGAGAGGTGTGGTGCTCTGTCAGTCAATACAAATTTTCATACTTATTTTTTTCCCTACTGCACAGTGGGGAGAAGCCAGGAGAACTTGGCAAAGCAATGCAGAGTAATCTCTCTAGATGAGCTGGGGTGGGGTGGGGGCTTCTTGAGGAGAGGAATTCAAACCTAGAGGCTCTGCACAGTAGCCACATATGATTCACATCCTGAACCAGACAGTGGGATTGCAGTTCCTCAGTGACCTCACTTTCACTTCACTCTCCTCCCTCAGAGGCAATGGATGCAATCAAAGTCTCCTTCAACAGAGCAATTAAGTGGGGAGTCAACTGCAAACCTGATTATTATTATTATTATTATTATTATTATTATTATTATGGGGATGGGATGGAGTTGGAAGGCCGCTGCTGTTCTTTTTTTGGCCATAAATTGGAGAAACTGCCTCAGGAAGCCTCTTAAGCCGTCTTCATCCGAAGATGAGGAAAAAGCAAAAAAGCTGGGAGGGATCCTGTGAATTTAAACCATCCCTCCCCTGAGCTGGGAGAAATGAAGAAGCCTCTGAGCAAGAAGAAGTCCACATGTGGGCAAGGAAGGTTTGGGAAGATCTTCACCTCTCCTGTAACAGTTGCCTCTTTCTCGATTCAAACTCCATTTGTCTGGCCTGTCTCCCGCTGGCATGCTGCCACTGCCTCCAAGGTTTCATCCTCCTCCTCCTCCTCCTCCTCCTTCTTTGCCCCGAGAGGCTTCCCAGGGCAGTGAGGGTCATGGCTAACTAGGCCTGTTGGACCTCTTGTCATGGAGAAGAGCTTAAGGCTAGGGAGCCCGGGAAGACAAAAGCTTCCCAAGCTCAGTATATCAGGAACAGAGCTCAGAATACCATGAGGAGACAGAGCTCAGCAGGTCATGAGGAGACTCACCGGATTGACAAACCCTGAGGCCACAAACTGGGAGAAATGGCGCTCCAGAGCGACTGGGGCTGAGGCCTCAGTCCAAGCAAAGGAGCTCCCCTTTTGCTTTTGCTTCAAAGGTTGTCTCGCCCAATATGCCTTCCTCTCTTTCTGACCCAAAAGAGCAGGCAAAAAACCCCCATCCACCAGCAAACAAAGCAAGGGTGTGCAGGGGCAGGGCATGCAAAAAAAAAAAGGCGGGAAAACAGAAGACAGAGGGAATCTGAGGTAAATAATTTTGGTCTTCCTTCCTTGTGTAGAAACAGTTTCTACACAAATGTAATTCTGGTTCTAAAGGCAGCATAAGGGGTCTCTATAGTATAGTGTATTTTAAAATGGGGTTTCAGAGTTTTTAGGGGTTTTTGTATGTATCATGTAGTTTTTTCAATTTCATTGTTCTGCAATGACAATAAAGATATCGTATATTGTATATATCCTTTTTTCCCCCTAGTAAAGGAAAGGAGATTAAGGGCAACTGATATCAGCGGAGCCAAGAAGAGATTTGGAGAAGGCAAATAAAGAAAAAATAGCAAAGAAAGTGAGGAAAGCTGACAGAAAAAACAGAAGTGATCTGCTTAATGCAGGCAGGAGCAGAAAAGTGATGGGGAGCCCTGAAGAATTTTGCTCCTGCCTTGTCATCCTAAGACCAACCTGATAGCCCAGTGACACCCTCCATAAATTGATTTAATACACAGTGTTCCTTTACAGCAGCAAAATAAAATGATCCAACCACACTCTACATAAATTAATTCCTTTTTAATATAGATGAAGTACATAATGTTTAATTACAGCAGGCCAGTGATTCCAGTTAAATAAAATTAAAACCCTTTATCTTTCTCAAATATAAAATTACTAATTCATGTCTTAAAACAATATAGCAAAAGCTTTAAATTACATCACCATTTAGCCACAGTAGTTTATCACCACTTATATACTCCATCACTTTGGCAAAAATTATGTATTCTTTTTAAAAACAGTGCATAACGTTATAGAAACTGTATACAACCTCATATTGCACTTACTGTATTTATATACAATAACTGTAAAAGAAAATAGAGCATTTACTTGGAATGAACATGAATTTATCACAATTGTAGAAGGATGAAAGCTGGTATGAATATTAAAAATGTTTAGAAATGCATTTCATTTATGTACAGGGTTTATGAGTTGTATTAACAAATATGTACATGTCTTGCTTAATATATAGTTAGTAACATATGGTAACCTTTGGTTGGATGCAACTGCTTGATCAATTTTAAGCTCATATGCTCTCCAAAATGCCAACAAGGTATAAAATGGTGCACAACTGTTATAGTCAACAGTACAAAAAACTACTTCTACCTAAATTAACCCCTCAAATTAGTGCCTATTAAGTCTAATAGTGTTTGTACTTTATATCAGTTTGTATGTGCATATATCAAAGAACACTTTTATGGTTTATGTCTGCAAACTTACATTCCATAACACTTGCCTATAATGTGCCATTTATTTTAGAATACCATTATCAGAGCAGAAGAACCAGTTAAGTTCCCCAGAACAATTCTGTGTTGGGTGTTGTAATATTGCCAGCAGAATATAAAAAATATGTGCACCATCAGTATATGTTTTAGAAATCTACCTCATACTATTTCCTTATCCCTGACTGACCCAGAGATTTAAGCATGCTCAATTGTTAGTATCTTCACAGTCCTCTTTCAGATTTGGATTTCATCCTGAGTTTGCAAATGTTCAAAGATCCACTTGTGTTCCAAGGTAAGCAGCGCTTTCCGTCACAAAATTCTTATGCAACTGAAGAAGAGCTGGGCATCCCATGAACTGTTGTGCTTGTTGGTGTCCCACTAATGGCATTGAAAATGTGTAGCGAGTTGGGCATTACACTGGCTTTTTCTTCCATAGCGGTAATCTTAAAGAGAGAAAAACACATGCCTTAGACATGGTTGAGGGAGGAGAAGGTTTTCAAAAGAGTGGGGTAACCATGGGCTTGTCCTTTGGCTTCTAGCTAAAATGTGAACGGGGACCTAACTTCAGATACAGCAAGTAGGGGGGGATACATTTTAGTATGCAACTCTGCCTAGCACATATATCCTTGCAAAGCATATTTTCTCTAATATAATGCAGTTTTGTATATTATTTTCACCAAATAAGCATTTTTCTACATACTGCTTGGCAGGAGAACTGCATTGCAAAATTGGGAAGCCTGCGAATTTCCAAGGATGGCTGTTTTCTGGTTTGCATACTGTTTCAAAAAGTGGGAATTAGGTAGATTCAGTTTTAAATGCAATCAGGATTAAATTTCCCCCCATCTCTACTTGGAAGCAAAGTCCAACTTGATTTAAATGGAATGTATTTCTAGATCATTGGAATTATGATAGGGAGCAAGTCTATAGTGACCCAAAAGTTAGATATAGGTCAGATGACCTTCTTAATTAATATATGTTTAATTTTGTGACTGGTTCTGAAAATAGCAAAGAAAGATGTTTAGCTAAAATCCACCCCTCTCTAACGACTTCTGTCAAGAAACTAGATCATCTTCTTCTTTTAAAAAATTCTGATTGCCCTATTAGTTTTGTAAGAAGCAGTGTAGCAAAGCATTATTATTTGACTGATAAACATTCTGTTAAGCAATAGTGATATGCATAATGATTGACTATTCAACATTAAAACAAAACAAAGCCTAAGTCTCTCCTCAGTTCTGCACTACAAATTCCACATTATATATTGTGTAAAGGAAGTTAAACAAAACTCAGAACTCGAAAGAGAAACTAAAAATGTATTACCATCCCAGCTGATCACATTTTCAAAGCAGCATAGGGGAAACGGAAGGAAGAAAGAGAGATGCCCATTAAGATTTCTATAAAATGTATTAAACAGGGGAAAAAATATCTCTGAAACATTTATTTAAGAAAGCAAAATGGACATTCCAATGTTTGCAGAATAGGTAGTACAACCAAATTTACATGCAAGCCATGCACTTATATTTCCATAAAATGAATGTTTCCTTGGTATTTAAGAGCTGCTTCCATTATGATTACATTTTCCAATGGAAAAATACATGACCTTCAAATCGAAATTAAATCTGTAAAAACAGGAATGGGGAACCTTTTTAGCTCAAGGGCCTTCTATGCAGGAGAAAGTAGACTTTGGTGGGCAGAGTCAGAGGCAAAAGTGGGTGGCGCAATTAATGTTAATTTTATCTTGGTGTGGTAGGCTAATTTCTACAGTGGTACCTCGCAAGACGAATGCCTCGCAAGACGGAAAACTCGCTAGACGAAAGGGTTTTTGTTTTTTGAGCTGCTTCGCAGACGATTTTCCCTATGGGCTTGCTTCGCAAGACGGAAACGTCTTGCAAGTTTGTTTCCTTTTTCTTAACACCGTTAATACAGTTGCGACTTGACTTCGAGGAGCAACTCATAGCACGCGGTGTGGTAGCCTTTTTTGAGGTTTTTAAAGACTTTGGTGATTTTTGAAGCTTTCCCAAAACTTTCCCGACACCGTGCTTCGCAAGACGAAAAAAATCGCAAGACGACAAAACTCGTGGAACGAATTAATTTCGTCTTGCGAGGCACCACTGTACTTGCCTTTGCCTACCCCTCTTCTCTACGCTCTGTCCAGACAAACAGGAGGCACTGTCCGAGTTCAAGGGCACATTCTAGCCGGGCAAAAATATTTAGGGCATAAGCAGGCTCAGAGAAGTAAGTGGCCTGGGGAGTGTTCAAAGTGTCAAATACAGAGGCATGCAGCCCTGAGCCTGAGGTTCCCCACTCCTTGCTGTAGAGGAATGGTTAGAAATCTATTAATTCTTGAACAGTCACCCACATCATGCAATGTTGGAACAGAAGTCACAGCAGAAGTCATTCTTTTAGCAAAGCAACTTATGGTGTACTTGTGGACTGACCATATTCTAGTGTTACATCGCCATGTAGAGTATAATAATCAATTAAGCTGTTTTATTAGGGGGCAAGAATGGAAAAAAGGGAGAGAAAAGTGCTCATTTTTCATGTTAGAACTAGCAGGCTTAAGGCAAGATAGGCTACTACATTTAAGTCTGATTTATGTGCCAACTAAACTGATTTTCTTTGTAACTCTGTTATTTTAAAATCCCCCATACAACTGAATTCATGAAAGTGTCTGCATTGTACCAACCAGAATGGAAGAAATGAAAGGATTTATTGTTAGATAACTCTGTTACAGCAGTTAATAAATCATAGCATATGCTTCAAGGCCATTATCCATTAACATCTATTATAAATATTAACTTTAGATAAAACAATCCAGGGTAGAAGTCTTAACCCATTTCCTTCAGCATCATTATATTATTTAATGTCATAAAAATAAATATTATAATAGTTTCACATTTATTTATACCTCATCTTTCCCCTAAGGTGGCTTACAGAAAGAAACTTGAGTGTAAAAAACAACAACCACCCTCAAAGCAGTAAATTGTTATTGGCAATTTACAGCAATATACAGTTAGGAATATACTAAAGAATTGGATCCTCTGAATTAAATACTCAAATAATAAAGAATTCAAAGAAAAATATTTAGTTCTTCTGAACCAAAACAGGATGACCTGAATGAAATACTTAACGTTCAGTACATACTTGTTCATGCATGATTTCAGAGAGTTCTTTTGCCATTTCTCTGTAATTAGCCTTCATTCCTTCTTGATATTCTATCTGATCTTCTTTTATAAGCCGCTCATTTACTTCTAAGGCCTGCCCACAAGCTTCAACAAATTGTCTGAAATAAATGTAATTTCATAAAATGAAATATATTGAGAATGGTTCTAATCTCAAAGTTCCAAAAAGAAACTTAATCAACTTTCATATTTTTTTACCTGAAAACTTCCTTGAGTAACTTTAGTTTATTGTCTGGATACCGTTTGGTGCTTGTATCATCCAGAAAAGCTCTGGCATATGCCAATGGCCCAGCATTAACCTAAAAATATATAAACAGTTATAAATTATGTTCCCACCCCCCTGCAATAATATTAAAACCAGTTTTGCTCATCCCTCTGAAAAGGGCTATACACAAGTCAAATACATTTCTGAAAAATAGCCTGTATTTATTAAAACATTTATAAGGGACGCGGGTGGCGCTGTGGGTTAAACCTTAGAGCCTAGGACTTGCCGATCAGAAGGTTGGCGGTTCGAATCCTTGTGACGGGGTGAGCTCCCGTTGCTCGGTCCCTGCTCCTGCCAACCTAGCAGTTTGAAAGCACGTCAAAGTGCAAGCAGATCAATAGGTACCACTCCAGCAGGAAGGTAAACGACATTTCTCTGCGCTGCTGTGGTTCGCCAGAAGTGGCTTAGTCATGCTGGCCACATGACCCAGAAGCTGTATGCGAGATGAGCGCCGCAACCCCAGAGTCGGTCACGACTGGACCTAATGGTCAGGGGTCCATTTACCTTTACCTATCCTGCCCTTCTGGTGCAAAAACACTACTGAGTTCATACCCATGAAAGGAGCAAGTTGCACACAAGTGACTAACTAGACAGAAGCTTTGCACAGGCATTATCCTTCATACTACTCCATGAGGGAAGAGAGGGGTTGTGCCTGCTGGCACCAACCCTGCATGAGAGGGCATGCAGGAGACTGTCTAAGCCTTATCCATGAGATGTGCCACCACAGTGCCTGCACCTAATTTGATCTGATGCTACACACTCATATGCAGTAACGCAGGTCTGGATTTTACTATCAAAGCCTTGCAGTGCATACGGACAGACATGCGTGTTTCACCCATTAGGTTCCTGGTCAGTTGGGAGGCGCAGGGCATTCCTGGCATGACTGTAGGTATGGCAGGCTCCTGGCGCCCCCCCCAGTAGCCTTAGCCCTCCAAGGCCTGGGGCAAGTGTACCTGGCTGCTCTCCCCTGTGCATGGGCTTGCCGGAGGACACACCTGTAGTAAGCAGCTTGCTCTACAAGTAAAGCTCTGCTTCAGGTGATTTATAAGCTTATGCATTAATCTCATGAGGGATAACACCCAAACAGAACTACAAATGAAAGGGCTTCCTGTGAAATAAGGTTGAGAATTAACAAGTTGCTCAAGTGATCGCAGTGTTGAACCTGTGGTGGTATTCAACTACATTTTACTCAGAATAGACCTACAGAAATAAATGGATATGAATAGGTTAGGCCTATTAATTTCAATAGGTCTATTCTGAGTAAAACTTAGTCTCAAATTCAAAGTCTACCACTCTTATTCAATGGACATTGTTGGCGCTGCATATTATTTTATCGGTGTGACACAAACACACAAACAGAATTCTAAAGCGAGAAGAAGCTTATTAGGCAATTTTAAGGGAAAGGAAAACTCCACACCATAATCAATTTAATCAACATACCTGAACGCTGACACTACCCTGCAGCTTCAACTGAAGTTTGATCATATCTACTTCAGCTGATGAACAAAGTTGCCGGAGCTCAGCAACCTTCTTACTCATTTCATCAATAGCGACTTCAATTGGGTTTAAATCTGTATGGTGTTGATACATTATGGGAATCCGCTTCTTTACATATGGAAAACAATGTATAGCTAGGGAAAGAAAACAATGAAATTATGTTTACACGACTATACTCATGCTATCTTCAAATATTAAGAAACTTGCAAGTCAATGCTTTTTATTTTGGGAGCAAGTAGACTTGTAAACAAACAATCCTATATTTTAATAGCATAATTCTATAGAGCAAGGCTAATCAATGTGATGTATCCAGATGTTTGGAACGACATTTCCCATCAGCCCCAGTTCTCATCGCCTGTGGTCTGGGATACTGAGAGTTTAGTGCAAAGCATCTGGAAGGCACTACATTGGCTACCCCTGCTCTGCAGACTGTGTGCTTCTTTTGTCCAGTGTTTGTTTGCCCCTGGAAAAATTCTGATCTGCAGAAGACTAGCCTGTATCTTCTCATTATGCAGGACATATATTGTACTGTCTGCTAGCCCATGAAAGTTACATGCTATTCTATCCGAAAGGACTAATGATTAAGTATCAACCGGGTAAACCAACAGGTGGGAAAAACTTAAGAAAAATATTAAGCATGGGTCTTTCTATGTTTTTTTATTTGTTTAGTTTATGTAATTCACATTTTGTTATCTAAAGAAGGATGACAACACTACTGTTTCCACTTGGTTCTTTGCCAGGAGATTAGCTATTAGCAATAACAGTTGTTCACATGCAGTGTCAGTCTTTAAGCTACCAGTAATCCTGGTGCAAAGAGTAGCCATGAGTCAGCATGCAAAATAACTGGACCCTGGCCTTGACATATTGGTGCATGAACATAAGGCAATTGAGAGGCAATAAATGTTTGAGTCAACTTAAATATCTACCTATCTACCTATCTATTAGCTATTCACAGGACTGCAACAGTGCATACTAGGACAGTTTAGGGATGAAGCAAAATGGGGTAGCATACTCCAGTGAGCCTAAGGGCAGTAGCCTGTGGCACACATAGCTCTGATCTCCAATAGAAGGGAATGGCTCAGGAGGAATGAATGGGGAGGCTCCTGTTTCTGAGCACCTGCTGCCAGAGGTGAATACCTCTTTCTAATTTTACAGCCGACTGCCCTGAACATAAAATATCTCCCTTTCTACACAGGTTTTAAAATACACCCAAGACCTTTCTCTTTGAGTTGGATCACAGTTCCAAGTGCTTCTAAAACGTGACCTTGCTGTTAAACAGCTTCCTGGCAGACCAGAGAAACTGCATCGGTAACATCCAGGGTACTGATAGAGCATCAATCTGTGTGTCTTTGTTTCACACTTTATATTGTGGTAGCCCATATTTGTCAGAGTGTACCCTTATGTCAATTCTAGCTCCCCGGCAAGTATAGCAGTATAGTTCACGTGGCTGCAAAACATTAATTTTAATAAGACTTTACGTGTACAAAATGTGAGTGTATTGCATGAAATAGCTTTAATTTGGTTAGTTATTAGTTATAGGTTAGTTTCCTGCTGAACACTTAGGCTCCGATAGGTTATTAGGACCCAAAACATGCAGGATTTAGCAAAGACTCAGATTTCTCTGTGGCTTCTTTGGATTACATGGAAGTGTGTTACAGGTGCTATAGACAAAAAACATCAATGAAAGGTGTTAAGTGCTCTCTTTTGGTTTTTAGAAATCAAAGTACTGTCCCAAAGAACTGCAAATTTTGACCTAGTACCTGTAAGAATGGTGCGTCGTTTACATTGTTCCTCCACTCCCCCTCTTCTTTTGCCCATCTGAGTAAATGGCATCTCAAACATAAAGCGACGGATGTTGTGATTTCTTTCAAATTCTGTTTTTCTCTCTTGTAGTTCCTTTTCCTCAAAGTATGGAACTACATGAGTAACTTGAATATAGGCATATTTTGAATCCAAATCCTTAGGATTTACCTTAAGAGAATTTGAGAGAATTAAAATCTCAACTATGAAAATATGCAATTATTTAAAAATTACATTATTAAAAGGTTACTTGAGCTAATACGCTGATCATCATTAATAAAATTTTAAAACTCTTATGGTGCCTTCAATATAAAAATTATCCATGTATGCCACCAAGGTCCTTCTTGCTTCATTCATTTGGTATTTTTTGTACTGCACAAGTAGATGATCATCCTTAGTGGAACCACATTTTACTATGCTTAAGAACTGGCAGGCTAGAAAGAAAATTTCGATTTGAGCTCATGTTAATTTATATATAAGTCAGTTGTATGTTATTAGTTAAGTCCTACTTTTCCAGAGTCCTGGATCATCCTGACATTTTCAGATCCAAACTTATCTGAGTAGAGTTTTTGTAGCCTCTGGGAAATCTCTGAAAGGCATGTGAGTTTAGGCTCTTTGTATATATATTCTTTTCCATCTTCATCTTCAAAAAATCCCTTTAGAAAAGAAAAACCAATAACAACAGTTAAATTCTAAACAAACAAAGGTCCAAAAAAGAATGACTCCTAATAATTAAAGCAAGGTCAATGTAGAACACAAAGGTTGCAAGCAAAAAGAAAAAGAAAAAAGTGATATTGAAAAGTCAAGATAAGGAGAGCAAAACAGCTATTATAGTATGGATGCATTGACAATTATTACAATATTATTGAGGGAATGCTGTAAATTACATGATATGTCAACTTTAATGTTTTGAGGGTACAGCACTCTATTTCCATATTTATTGTTCGCATGCCTGTTTCACATGCCAATATGGTAGTCCTCTGAGAAAGCAGTGTTATTTTGAACAAAATATGGCCAAGTGTTCTATACAAATAAAGCAACATTATCTAGATAAATTTTAATATAATCATATTTTATAATTTACTTTGAAGCCCAAAACACAACCAAAATAGGTCCCATGGAAGGTGAAACAGGTGTCTGCTTTCATACAGAATGTCAGATCTGAGTTAATGTTTTAAGTTGCAAAAAGAAATATTCCTATCTGAAGATGAAATGGACAATGTAGTGCAAGGATCACAACATAGCATGTATAAACGCAAACTAGACTGACAAAAATACCCACAACAAACTAAGCTTATATGCAGTAGTTTTTACTGCATTGCTTGTTTTGGACAGCAGTTTCTGTAATTACCTCCACATCTGTTTCACTGTCTGTAAACTGGTATTGCTATAGTCATAAGAGACAATAGAATAAATGGAATGTTATATCACTCAAATTGTACAATTCAGTGCCCTGACTGAATATATTTTTTTTTATCAACTATTTCTATCTAAAACTGTGTTTCCTCCATTGAATACACATGCTCATGTCACACACACACACATCCTGCAGTCACTGTATTTTGCCACTATGGAATAACACATAAAAGTGAAAAAGTTTGAATCTTTGTATAAGCATGCAGTACAAAGATAGAACATGTGCAGTTTTCTTCTGCAAGTGGAACTAAATATATTAATATTTTAAACCAAGATAATACAGATCAGAAAGTGAACCAACATAATATATAAAAACACCAAAGGCAGTGTTTAAGTAATAGCTATGAATGGCTATTATTGAGAAACTTACCGCTGCCTTAAGAAAGTAATAGAAAAAGGAAAAAAGGAAGAAAAGAAAGTTTACTGAAGAAATTTCTCATTCAGAAAACAGTTATTAGTTCAATAGTTCATTAGTTTCAAATACATGCAAGTAGAAATATACAATGCAGTTAACACATGCTGTAAAAAAGAATACATTGCAAAAAAATTGCAATTTTTCATATGCTAAGTTAAAGTTCAGGAAAGGTACTGGACAATGCTCACCTGTCCAAAAAATGCAACTCTGAAATAGGTTCCCAACAATCTTTTTCCTGTATGCATAACTTCTGTAACTTTGCTGTACGCCCGGTGCAATGTGTCATACAAATGAGCTAGCCTCTAAAAAAATGGGAAAATACGTTTTGGTAAATGGTGGCACTGAGATATTTAGTATATTCTGAACAACAAAAAACAGAATAAAAAACATACAAGCTTTTATATATCGTTAGCAAACTGTATCAAAATAATACAGTGCTTAATGGCTTGGAAAACCCAATTGTCTCAACTTAGCTAAAATTAGGGATAACTAAGTACCACTGAAAGCAATGGAACAGGTTATGATTACTTTTTCAGGTGTCACCTTATATTTGAAGTTGACTTAAGTAGTAAATATATATTAAAAACATGCAAGAATGATAACTAAAAGTGAACATTCCCCTAAGTATACGCATATCCTACCATAACATTATCATCACTGTAAACCAGTAAACAGCTAACCATCCATTGAATGAGCAGGATGCAGATATCAAAATTTCCAGTGCCTTGGAATCTAAAGAAGTCTTAGCCTGGTTCCAAAAAGATGGTGGACTAAGGGCTTGCTGTATCTCCTTGTGAACAGCATTCCAAAAATGGGAACCACTTCAGAAAAGGCTCTTTCTTATGTAGCCACTCTCCGCACCTGCCTTAGAAGAGGTACTTGGAGAAGGGACTCCAAAGCTGATCTGAAGAGCTGGGCAGATTCATAGGGGGAAGGTAATGGGGGTCCCAAGCCTTATAAAGTTTTATAAGTAAAAAAACCCCAGCACTTTGAAGTTAGTTGCAATCAAATGAATCCTCACAACTTTCAATGAGACTTTGCTGTAACTTTAGCTGAACATTACCTATTTCAACGTCCCACAGCATTAACAGGTATCAAATGAAATCATTATAGCATAAATAGATTTGCATCAAATACCTCAAAATCTCTCCGCTTTTCATAAATAGGAATTATAAGTTTATAGATGTCAGCAATCAGTTCATAACGTTCAGCCTTCCACAGCCCATCTGCACACTGTTCTAACAACTCCATCAGTACATCCTAGTTACAGAAAGAAAAGCACACACATGTGGATAGAGACTAACCTAGAGCAATCTAATTTTATTTTTCTCAAGCAGCATCAAAAAGGATTAATTTCCAGTACAGTGTGTTTCTGATCCAGCAAAGGCTCCTGACAGTGGAAGGGGAGAGGCAATTTTCACCAATTCTCCCTTCTTCCTACAGTCTGCAGTGTCACACTATTCCAAAGGGTTCTGTGGAAATCCCGTCTGGTTAACATTTAATTGCCAGGTCCAAGGTTCCTCAATGCTCCCAGGCTCTCCTCTGAACTTATGCCTTGCTTTTATAGCATCTCCAGCATAACTTGGCCTCTTTGTCTTAACATGCTATAAAGTGAGTAATGGTGTATGCTATTTATTATTTAGTTGTGTTTCCATGGGTTAAAAATATTTTCAATGTGTTATGAACTCTTCAGGTTAGACAGCAAGCAAGACATTTTAGAATTCAATAAAAATTATATTAGTATTATAAGGATACAGAAATAAGTATGAATTAAGTTTACATACTTCATTAAAGTGAACATCTTGCATCCCAACATCTTCCATCATAGAAGCCTCTTCATCTATATTTGGAGTGATTACTCTGAAGCTTATACAGCCTTGTTTAAACATTCCTATTTATATTGGATGGGAAAAATGCAGACAACACTCTTGAAGTAGATCAACGGAAGAGAGGAACAGCAAAACCCACAAAGGCATGAAAGAAATTAACAATCTTAAAGTTGCAGTGAATAGATCTAATTTCAAGTTACGCTTCGTTTGGGGGGTATTGAATTGAGTAGAGGCATCCCTTCACTAATTTCTGCAATCTCAGCTGGTTTCCTCTTGCCAACTGAGTAGTGCTTGTGCCACTATGCTGGAGCAGCCCCCCCCCCTTTTCTGCCTGCTGAATGTGTGGGCGGAAGGCGAACTGGCAGTATCCTTGCCAGCATACAGTCCCCAAATAGGGCATTCAAGGCAAGGGCAGGCCTGAGCCAGCCTGGAATCTGTTGGACCCCAAGCTGCTCTTACAGCCAATCCCAAAGTCCTGATCCACCCCCTGCCCCACTGCAAATCTTCTGCTGCCACTGCCACTGCCAGTGGCTAGGCTGCAGATGTGGCAGTACCACCACTATGCAGGGGGTCAGCAGCAGCAGGTTTGGATTTTATTCTTAAACGGTATAGTGTTTTAGTAAAGACTTGAATAATCAGAACCCATGCTCTTGGGTTTCTGAACCATAGGACAAAATTCTACTGATTGCAAGTTAATAGTAAGCATGTCTATTTTCACAACCTTGGTTGCTTCAAAGCCTAAGATGGAAACTTGGGTAACAGGAGGGCCTCTTACACATGGTTACTAATGGCTATTCAGGGCTGGCATTAGATATAATTATCTTCAGTAACCCAGTGTGGCAAAATAGAAGTGAGGTACCTTCATAGCAAACAGAAAAACTGTATGGGGGTCTTTAGATAATATAGATAAGTAAAGAAGCTGTTTTTCTGATGGTACATCCTGTGATGCTGATATGTTTAAAAGGCTCACCAGTGCAATAGAGCGGTCCACTGATCAACTATTACCATGCAATCACTGCACGGACAAGACTGTTGTGAGAATAAAAGGAGGAGGGAGGAGAAGAGAACCCTAAGCTTTTTGGAGGAAGGCAATGATAAAACTATAGGAAACAAACATTCTGAGTGACAGTTTAACAGATGGAGTGTGATGAGATTACATTGGATTTTCCTTTCTGTAACAGTCTTTTCTGAAGATATTGCTTTAAATGTTTTATTGCTATTTTTTAAATAGAAAGAATATTAATTTAATTGTTATTTATTAAACTATTTTTGGACCTTTATCCACATGGATGCGAGGGCAATACACAATATGCATAACTACAACTGGCTAGACAAAACATAAATGCACAAACTATAAAGCAGACTGGTATATAACCACTTAAGCAGCAGTTTAAAATATCCCAACAACAATGGAGTAGGTGCATGATACATACCTTTTCGGAGAAGGTACTCTGCCACCAGAGCTGTTACGTGGACATAACACATTGCCGCCTAAAATACAAACAATAGCAACCATTACTACACAATTTTTGTTGTGACTAAGTTCTGTATACAGCAAGCCTGCAACATTCAGCTTTACATGCTTGGCAATTTAAAAAAAAAACACAACTTTGGCAATCCCATCTACCATTGTACCCATTATATTTTGACTATATGCAATTTTGGCTTTAGGCACAACCCCTGGAATGTAACCCCTGCATAAGTTGTGGGCTTACTGTATATCTTGAATAAAACTAAAAACATTGGAGCAGCACAGCAATTCTTTCTAATTTCTGTTGGCACATTTTTCTCCAACCTCTTCAATAAGAGTGTGATAGACTTATAGAATTATTTTGAACTTTAAGAACAGTATTGACAAATCATCAAAAACCAGTGGAGTACTTTCTGTCTTGCTTACCTCTGAAAGATCTCCATTTTTAACATGAATTCTTGCCATGCTATCCAACCATGTCTTCCTGAGTTCAGGTGTACTGGCATAAGACTTTGCCAAACTGTACTGAAGATCCACAAGCATTTCTGGATCATTCTCATGCTCCTTCATTTGTGCTGTAGCCATTAGGACTGTACGGATGCGTTTTGTCAAATCCTTGACATCGGAAGGAAATGTCGTGTGCTGTAATGTGAAAACAGCGGCAAGATATGCAAAATGAGCTCAACAAGGGGAAGCTAAACTGTACCTATCCACTTAGTGACCTATTGCTTGAAATTCCTTTAGGAATAATCAAGTAGTATGAAAGAAGAGTAAAGTTGTGTGGACTGTTCCTCAGAATCCTAACCCCATGAACATGGTCTTGGCTATTAGTTGCATCTGCTCCTGTTAATGTTACATTGTTTCTTTCAAAGTAAAACAACTCTAAAATGGAACTATTTTAAAAGCTAATTTTGTATGTACTTATATTATACAATGAATATTTAAACTAGTGTCTCAAACATGGACTATTGTGATCTGAAAAGATTTTACAGAGATTTTCCTTTTTCTCTCAAGCATCAAGAACAACTTGGCATTTTTGGCACTTTCAAATAAGACTTCATCAAGGTCCCTTTTGTGACTGCTTCTGTATTTTTCATTCTACAGTATTTCTGTACATTTTGTTCTCTGCTTATACATGACTATAACCTTCTTATGGTTGATCCATACGGGCTGTTTACATGTTGAGGTTTTAGCATCAAGGCCATGGGAATGAAACTGATGATCCAGACCCTTCTTTATAATTTCAAAATGAAATGGAAAAAGCCTACTACAAACCTTAGTAAGTCTGTCACTGTTAGCACAGTTATTGATGATGGAAAGAGACTGCTGAAATCTGGTTCCACCAATTCCGACAACATCTGCAATCAGCTGACTCACAGAAATGATAACCTTGTAACGAAGTAGAAACATAAATCTTGAAGATTTCAGGTTGGGGTTTCTATTGTATGCATTATAAATTCTGTATACAGTTTTGGAACTTTCCTAAATATTAAGCAGCCTGTAACTTTGTGTAAATAAACAAATACATAAAATAAATAAATAGATTTGTAGACACTTCTGGGGAAAATGCAAACCTGTATGTGAATAATTTGCATTAAAACTGCAGTGAGTTTGAATATCTAGAAACATCAGCTACTTTTTCCAAAATTTGGGTATAGGAAGTACACATAGAGAGTGCAGCAGCAAGGGTGACCTTTTCACATAGCTGCTGGGCATGCAGCATTTATTATCACACGTAACTTAAAGTGTGTGTGTGCTGCTCGATGCACTATGTTGCTAAGTACACACAATCCAGTCTTTAAGACATGATACCAGAAAAGGTCAGCATTTCATCTCCTTAAAACCCCTTAAATACATAAAAACAAACTGTACTGACTTGTAGGTGTGTCCTCACAAACGATCTCTTTCCTGTGTAATCGAAATTATTCCTCATCAAGAAATAAAGGAGCTGTGATGCTTCTGTTCGTATTGAGCTCAGTTTGGAATTGCAGCACTTCAAAATCTCATAGCACAGTGAAGAACACATGTCAGCCCTTCCTTCATAAAATGTAGAAGGAAACTGTAGAACACACAGAAACATTTACTCTTTAAAAGGTAGGATAAAACGAAACCATCAGGTAACAAGTTTCAAATAGCAAAGTGTTCAAAAAAATGTCACATGGGAGTTGGCTGTTTAATTTGTAACACACTAGAAAGGCTCCCTGAAAACAAACACCCTTGATACAGATACAGTGGTACCTTGGGTTACAGATGCCAAGGTATCTAGTTACATACACTTCAGGTTACAGACTCTGCTAACCCAGAAATAGTACCTCGGGTTACGAACTTTGCTTCAGGATGAGAACAGAAATCGTGCTCCGGCGGCGCGGCAGCAACAGGAGGCCCCATTAGCTAAAGTGGTGCTTCAGGTTAAGAACAGTTTCAGGTTAAGTACGGACCTCTGGAACGAATTAAGTACTTAACCCGAGGTACCACTGTATGTGCATCTGTTTGTTTAGGAGTCCCAAAGTCAGCTTTGCAAATAAGTGTACAAAGAGTTTGCTAGCTTGTCTACCTCACAAATTTAGTAAATTGTAGTCTATGCAGAAATTTGCAACTTTGTAAAGCTTCACCCTTAAAGTGACTAGAAAATATATTTTGACAGCCTGACAGAAGGTAGTGGTTGTCTCAAAATAAGACCAAAGCTTAGACAGGAATTCAGTGTTTCAGGGCTGTCAGATTTCAGATCTGCAACTCCATTTCCCAAAAAGAAAGCAATTGTGACTTTGTCACCTGTTTTAAAGGTTGGGCCATATGGCCCACATTCTCATCTCTCCCATGACACCCGGAGATAGCCACTGTAAAACTGAATGGCCGAACACTATGTTTACATACCGGACCAGCACTTGTTGGTAATGCAGTTCTGGGTTCTGAACATACAGTGGCCTGCTCAGTTAATGTGTCCACCTGTTCCATCAAGGGATTCGGGAGCCTGCTTCTTTGCACTGGCTGGACTGGAATGTCAGTCTACTCAACAAGACAATGACTTGTCCAAATTCAAAAAAGCAATTAACCTGGCATCTAGTTCCTAAGCTATAGCTCCATGAACACAATAGAGTCCTCCTTCATTCAGTTTCAGAAATATATAATCTGATTGAACAAAGATATGCTGTCTGGAGAAAAGCAATACCCTGCCCTAGGCTCTCTACATTTAGAGGCAGCATATAAGTAACAAAACAGAACCACCACCCCAATCAATATAACATACAGAGAGAAGAAGTTATAAATTGAAGACTACTTACCTTAAAAATTAGTGATCTTAAGGCATTGAAGACATTTTTTAATGCAGTTTCTGACTGATTTTTTTGCAGAAAGCAAAGGTACACATCGAACACTTTTTTCATCAGAGGATTATGCCCATGATCCATCAGGAGCTGATTCTTAAAATTAAGAAAATTATATTTTGATACCTACACAGATGAATTATTTTAAGGCCTCAAAAGCCATTATAAACCTTATAGACTTGTTAATGGAATGCTTCCCTCGTGGCTATCTGCACACAAACATCTGGGAAAGAATTATTGGTCTTACTTGAATTGCATATTGGTAACGTGGACAATGAAGACACTTGATTGGGTAATCAAGTGATGGAGGCAGGAGCACAGAATTGTGGGAGGCAGGCTTAATCTCCTCAGTTTTTCAGGCTCACCAAGCAGCAGTAATCAATGTAGAAAAGAAATCTGAAATACCTGCCTACCTCCTCCTGGCTGATGACATGCCGCCAAAATAAATAACATAACCCCTTAAACATAGGAACAAAGGGAACCCTTAAGTAAAGCCTTGACAGCAGTCTGAAATTAGCACAACTGCAGACCACAGCAGGGAGGGCTCTGGTGTTTTCATCTGTTTGTCACCTTACAAATCTACTCTTCAGGTAAGACCAATCGTTCTATTTATTGCAGTGGACGATGAAGCCCACTGGATTGGGACATACCACAGTGATTCCCAACTGGGTGGGACCCAACTGCAGTGGTGTTGCTTAAAGTGCTTGATGAACGAGCACAAGCGTGACTATACACATTGCGTCAAACTCAGAGGTAACCAGGAAAAATCACAAACAGGGGTTGTTTGAAGAGTTTTTCAATGGGTGTTCTGATTATACATGATTTCACGTAAGTGTGCGGTGCCTTGGGGTGTAACCATGCACAAATTGGTTGCTGCCTGTACTCCAGATGTTGTCATATGACAGCTCCTAATATCCCTGATCATCAGAACTGCTGGCTGGGGCTGATGTGAGTTGGAGTCCAAAAACATCTGGAGAGCACTATGTTGGCGAAAGGTAAAGGGACCCCTGACCATTAGGTCCAGTCGTGACCGACTCTGGGGTTGTGGCACTCATCTCGCTTTATTGGCCGAGGGAGCCGGCGTACAGCTTCCGGGTCATGTGGCCAATATGACTAAGCCACTTCTGGCGAACCGGAGCAGCACACGGAAACACCGTTTACCTTCCCGCCGGAGCGGTACCTATTTATCTACTTGCACTTTGACGTGCTTTCGAACTGCTAGGTTGGCAGGAGCAGGGACCGAGCAACGGGAGCTCACCCCATCGTGGGGATTCAAACTGCCGACCTTCTGATCGGCAAGTCCTAGGCTCTGTGGTTTAACCCACAGCACCACCCGTGTACCACTATGTTGGCTACCTCTGGATAAAAACTATGGCTACGCCTAACTATACAGGTATCTAAGCACATACCTTGAATGCCATTGTGAATAAAGATAAAGTGTCCAGAATTGTAAGGCAAACTTCAGTGGCAATGTTGGCTTCAAGTAAAGATTGGTGAAGGACGTCTGCTTCTGAATGGCCATAACCTGTGGAAATTTGAGGCAGTTGTTACTTTGAACTCTGTACCAGACTTTGACAAAACTCCAACCTTTTAATATCCACACTACTAATTGAATAGTAGCAAAGCTCGAATTCTTATGTGTCTTACAGGAATGCTGCAGTTGCAGGTATATAACATGTGCACATATTTGCAAGCATGGGTCGTGTAAATGATTGCTTTAGGTTTCAGATAGCTTGAAGCAAAAAGTAAGGGCTGAGAGTACATAAATAACAAATGAGTTACAGTAATATTCCAGTTGTATCCCAGACCTGTGGCCTACACATAGGTGGAATTAGCCTAGATAAGTGACAACTGAAAAATAATTTTCAAAAATTCTGAGACCCATTCAGTTTGTTCTAGGACCGTTCTATTCCAGACTGCTGATAGCTGAAGCACATTTTTTCATGATTTAAAATTGAAAGCAAATCAAAAAGTTTTACCCTCATACTAAGAATGTAAGATTAAGAATTACCCACCTTCAAAAAACACAATCCATGCGTTTCTTAATGAGTCCTCATTCTAGGATATGCCTGCTTGTTGGAAGGTGACAAGTCCTGAGCAGACTCATGCAGACAGACAACTGTTAGCCTCTTCTAAAGGCAGATAATTCTGCTGCATCAGGAGTCTTTAAATGCTCTAATCATTTGCAACACAGACAGAAGGAAAGAAGTCCCCAGCATGCATCTCTGAGAGATGCAATGGGCAATCTCCTTCATGGTTGCATACAATGGGCTCACAAGAGCATTTACTTTCATTCTTATCTGAATATATAAACGGAACCATTGTAATACTATGCCACGGATACACATCTCACTAAGTCAATCCAGGAGAATAACATGGCCAATGGTATCAAAGGCTGCTGAGAGATCAAGCAGAAGTAAAAGGGTTGCACTCTCCTGTCCCTTTTGTGATGAAGGGCTTCCATCAGGACAACCAAGGCAGATTCAGTTCTGAAACCAGGTCTGAACCAGATTGGATCTAGATGGCCAGGCTCATCCAGGAACACCTGCAGTTGCTCCACAACCACCTTCTCTACCACCTTTGCCAAGAAAGGAGTGCTGACGACTGGTCTACAGTTATTGCACCCCATTGGGCTTTGTGAGGAGTGGATACACCACCACCTCTTTAAGGAGTGGGCCCCACCCCATCACACAAAGATGCATTTACTGCACCTCTGACCCATTCAGTCATCTCACTCCAGCTAGTTTTAATAAACCAGGATGGATAAGGATCTAATGAATAGGTAGTTAGGCAGATCATTGCAAGCATCCTGTCCATATCATCAGATTGCATTAACTGGAACTGATCCAGCAACACTAGGCTTCATGTTGCATTAGGCACCTCACAAGGCAGCATCTAAAATCACTGCAAACCCAAGCAACTTAGTGGAGTTAACCCTTTTTTAAGTTAACTGCCTTTCATTCCTGTATCTCCACTTTGTTAGAACAATTAATTTCTGGATTTTTTGCTCATATACAGTTAACTGAATTTGCACTAAAACTGTATTGCAAAACCAATAAAAAGCTAGACTAGGTATGTTAGAAATGTACGTATCTCTTGTATTTCCCTAACTGAACACCATTATTTCCTATCTTCATAAAAGCACTATTGAAACGAGTTATTTGTTTAACTATTTAATGACATATTACTCCAGGGGAGCATAATATCAGTAAATAAGATGCTAAGAAATAGGTATAGTCATTTTAGGGGGGGGGGAATACCAATTAGCAAAATTTAAAATCAAATTTTCTTCCTCAAAATATGAAGCATTGATCAACCTATGCTTAGGAATAAGGTGGCCCTTTAATACCTTTGCCCCTCCAGATGTTGCTGAACTACAGATCCCATTATCCTTGGCCATTTGGGAATGTTTGCTAGGGCTGATGGGTAGTTCATAAACATCTGGAATGCCAAAGGTTCCACAGCCCTGCTGTACATTAAAGGAAGCAGCACAGAAGAAGCTCTATGAAACATCGGGTGAATGGCAAAGGAATTTTGGCAAACTGTGAAATATGGCTACAAGAAGAAATCTAAGGATCTCCTAAGGCTCAAGCAGAGACACAGGGGGGTTTGCATGCACCCATTTCCCTCCTGAATACCTTCCTTCTCAAAAATTGTCCCAACCAAATTCCTGAAGTGCTCTTTAAATGTCTGTGTTCAAAATGAGATTTGACATGAGGGTTTTTAAAATAGAACAAAAATGATGACTTTGGTCCTAAGTTCCACTTGCGGAATAGGGGTTTTCTGCCTTCCGTCTGCTGCTCCTGGGGCCCTCCAAAGCAGGTGGTGTGGGAGTTCCAGATGGAGGGGGAAATCCCCCCACTTTGCTCGAGTGGAAATTACTTCCGATTTCACAAAGACAGTGTTCAGTCAAATCAATCTGCAGGCAGCAGTGCCATGTCCATATTTAAAAAGTGTATTGGAAAATCTCTTCGCCCCCCCCCCAAAAAAAATTGAACTCAGGGATAGAAGTCTTCTGGAGAATAATTCTGGGGATTCTGTGAGGTATTTTTGAGAAAGAGCTGCCAATCTGTCAATCTTTTCTGTGTCTGGTCTGGGTGAGCTTTCAGTTTTGGAAAATTTGAAAAATGGGGAATACACTGCTAGATTATAGCCTTAAAAACAGGCTAGAATGAAGAAAAAGTATCCAAGACTTAAATCAGCTCACTACTAATTTCCAGAAAAACAGATGCATTTGTTAAAAGTATTCAGGCAGTACATAGTTAATGTGGGTTTTATTATTTCAGTAAGCTGCCCATTCTTGAATACTGTGAAGCTTCACAAAAGTCAAGTGATATTCTTAATGATGCAGCTGAAATATTTCCAAAGATTACTTAAATCTAGATTTCATTTCAAGAATTCCAACAGAGGCTGACTTCAACCTGATTGTCTTACCATTGTCTACAGAAATTCCAAGCAAACTTGATATTTTTCTCACACTGAAAACACAGAAAAAGTCACTTCATTACTGGGTGCTTCTTCACATCCAAACTAAATCATGGACTTTCACAGTACTTTTATGCTATTTCCCCTTAAAAACTTTATGCCAAAACATGGTCACATGATCAACCAAGCACATTTCACCGTTTTCAAAATGTTCTTGAGAAAGAGTATAATGAAAGTTCTCAATGGCAGTTGAAAACGTTGTTCAAGATGAACACCACAGAGTGCATAAATTTGAAGTAGCATACATCAAATACCAATGTATACAAAATTTTGAGTATAGCATGTTAAAATGCTGTAGTTAACCATGTTCCACATTGTGTCATCATTTGTTACTTCCACTCAGCTGTGAACAGAATTCATGTTGGTGCTTGACCTTGAAAAATAAAGTCCATGACATGCTCTGGTGTGGGTTTCGACCTGCCTCTGGTGTTGTGGTACTGGATGAGATTTCAAGTGTTATGTCATGGAACTTACTGTGGCTAAATGTGAGAGAGTTATCCAGGCTGCTCAGCTGCTGTAATCTGGCATGCATCATCCCTGTTCTGTTACGGGAAACAGGCAATGTCTGAGATTTTCGATCATGAACTATGGGTCCCAACCCCTCCTGGTTCCTGCAAGATGGGTGAAATGGGACAGAAGCAAAAGTTAAACATGTTGCACTGCAGCAAGAGAGGGTGAGAGTTAGTTAAGCAGGCCAAGCAAAAACTCTACTAGAAGATGAAAATACAATGCAGCCTATTATCTATTTTAAAGTTTTGGGAAATTTATCCAGTCAGTCAAAGCAGTACATAAAGGATGTGGACTATAGTATTTACTTCTTGACCACAATGGACTATTTACAGTTGGACAGACTGGAGGTAGGTCAGCTATAGTGAGAGTCTTAGGAAGACAGACTCAGTCAGGAAGACTAACTCTACCTGACCACTGTACTTTGGTCATTTTACATTAGCTTAAACTAGGCAGAATTCCAAAAGCATCACAGCAAGTACCTTCTCAGTCCAAAAGCTTCAAAAATGCTTGAAAGCAGCAGCACACAACTTGCTTTAGAAACATTTAGTTCAGAATAGTAAATGTGCTACCGTGTATACAAATAATTTTTAAGAGAGCTTTGTGTGATGTGAATTTGTTATAGAAAGTTTAAGGAGGATCTGAGAGAGTATTTAGTAAGCACACATGCAGTAAGAGCAAAATTACGTGATATACTAATGCCTGTATCTTACCGAGGCAGGAAGGGAGTAGAGCCATATACTTTGTTAAACTTGCCAGCAATCAAGTGAAGGAAATAGAAAAGTGATCTGTGTTAGCAATCAGTACAGACTAACCTCCTAGTGTGTACCACCACCAGAGCTGACAAGAAATGAAAACCAATACCAGAATTACACACATCCCTGTTTCCTCAACCATAGGGTGTGTAAAGATTGCATGCACTATTTTTTTGCTAGCACATTCCTTTGGTGCATCTCAATGTGGAATATTTGTGAATCACTTCAATAATCACATTTACATCAGAAACGTGCATAGTTTTCAGTTCAATGTTTTCACATGCAACACAACCAAGTGGTATGTTATTGGTGAAATAGTCTCTTAACAAATTCATCAAGAGCTATTTAATGCATTTTCATGCATTATGAATATTCCTACTTATACAACTATATCAAGTGGGCAAAAGCTCAAACTGTAATTTCAGGAGCAACAATATGTATTTTTATTAAATAAAATGGTTAAACATCATGTAGTACATTAAGAAAAATGCAACAATAAAGAAATAAAGGATATTTTACTCCAGCCCAAAGAAATAACACAAGTACCAGTGCCACATTAGAAATGTGTGGCTTAATTCTGGATGGCAAAACCATGTATGTGCTGTATCACTTCAGTCTGCATGTGAGGTCTTACTCAAGAGTAACCAGCACAATGCCCTCCGGATGCTGAACTTTAATTCTCATTAGCCCAGTCAACATAGCCAATAATCAGGATAATGGACACTATAGTTCAACAATGTCTTGAAGATAAGAAGGCTAGGCTAGCATCCTTCTCCCTGACATCTAATTTATTGTGTGGAGGGATCTTTTGGTCAGAAGAGCCCATACCTGCTATCTGAAGTGATTTACAGATCATACACTGCTTTACCACCTCAGCTGCTTTATGAGAACTAGGCACAAACATTAGGAAGCAGGCAGAACAGATCTAAAGCTGGGGAAAAATCCAAGGTTCAAAGAACCCCAAATGGCATTTTTCCCTGGGAGCAGGCTGGGGAGATGGGGGATAAATAGCCATATAAGTGTTGCAACACTTTTAAGTGAGTTCAAATACATATTCAGTTTGATTCACAGAACAGCATGCTTTATTTTGATTTTTCCATGCCCCCTTTCAAGACATTGTGTCAAAGATTAAAAGCAAAATCAACCAATGGCAATAGGATAATCTTCTTTTGGGAGAGAAAGAAAGGCAATGTATGTTGTATTTTTTCTCTTTCATATATCCAAGTCATAATTTCCTGTATTTGTGTCTGGTGTAAGTCACAATAACATCAGCTAGCAAGTTAACAGGCTTGTGCCAAAAGTCCATGTGGAGGCTGTCTCTAACATCAAAATATTGCAACAAACGTGGTAAATTTCCATACAAGCAGCTAATGGAACTAAGACCAGTGTAGCCAGCATTGGATAGGATGAAAAGATACATGTGGTGTTACAAAGCCTTGTTTAGTCTGACTGGAGAGTGCACAGGAGGTAGGAATAATTCACAGGCTATCATTCAGGTACTATGCACGGTTTTGAGAATGTCACAAGGCAGTTTGGGCAAACCTCCACAGTTTTAATAGCCAACACAAAAATCCTAAACTATGTAGTGCAGCAATTTGGGATGAGTTTTCAGTGCTAGTAAGGCAACACAGGTAACATGTGTCAAGCACTACAAAGGCCGTATACTTACCTTCTAGTACAAAGACATCTCTTTCCAGTATTAACTGAACATTATTCAAATGACAATAATTTAAGGCATTCTGTCACAACAAAGTTACACCATTAGGTTATACACAGTACCTGGCGATGTATCGTTTTCCCATGTATTGAAACTGATGCAAGCACACTCTGCAAAGAACACAGTGAGGGTTAGTTTTAAAACTAAGGCATAATTTTAGTAAAAACTTAACTGGAGCCAGCTCATGATATGATAAAATAATGAATGTCCACGATTTTAATGATCACTTGGCTTAATTCCCATCCCCAAACCAGAGTCTCTACCTCAATCCCATGTTACAGCTGTCACCTTTCTGCCAAACAAGTTATGTTCAACACTTTCTGCTCTCATGCAGAGTGAAGCCAAGATGCAGTAGTTGCTATGCCTGTCTTGTTTATTAGAACAGTATAGGAATTATCACTGACAATTTTTTCCACTTTCTGTAGTACTGTAGTGCAATCCAAACCATGTCTAATGAAAAGTAAGTTGTTAGGATTGTACCTGTGTCTTCAATGATCTCTAGTATATTTAAATTCCTGAACCACCAACAGTGAAGAAACAGTTCACAGCCAATCTGTTTTCTTCACAAAAATATTTATGCCAATGCTATGGCAGCAGCATCAGTCAAGTGAATGAATGTGGTCTTCTTTAGGGTCAAAATGCATTCTTACCAGGATCTGTCTTGGGCTCCACTTATGCTAGAGAGGTCATGATAGTAACCTCTAATTATAGAAGGCAGTCTACAGAATATCTCCCACACACAGATACTGTGTGATGGGGGCATCATAGAACATGTTGTTGCCCTGCGGAGCGACCTTTCCATAAAAGTTCACTACCATGAACATCTTCTCAAAGAGCTATAACAGTGTACTTATTTGGGTTTCTAGTAGCTGGCATCCCATCATTAATAGATAAGGGAGCAGAAGTAGTGAGTGTTTTATTCACATTATTAGGTAACTTCACTGAAAACATTAACAGGCAGTCAGAAATGCCCAGAAAACAGGCAACCTAAAATATTTAATAATAAAAGAACTTTGATCATGACTTAAAGGTAAAGGTAAAGGGACCCCTGACTGTTAGGTCCAGCTGCGAACGACTCTGGGCTTGCGGTGCTCATCTCACTTTACTGGCCGAGGGAGCTTCCGGGTCATGTGGCCAGCATGATTAAGCCGCTTCTGGCGAACCAGAGCAGCGCACGGAAACACCGTTTACCTTCCCGCCGGAGCGGTACCTATTTATCTGCTTGCACTTTGACATGCTAGGTTGGCAGGAACAGGGACCGAGCAACGGGAGCTCACCCCGTCGCGGGGATTCGAACCGCCAACCTTCTGATCAACAAGCCCTAGGGCTCTGTGGTTTAGACCACAGCACCACCCGTGTCCCTTGATCATGACTTATAGAAGACAAATTAGTTAGGGATTTGGTATATCAAGAGATATGACCTATGACTGATAAATGAATCTCCATATTCAGAGGCAGTATGGCTGAATATGATATACTGCAGACACATAATGCAGAAGAACTATTTCCTCCATGCTCTGTGGTCTTCCTGGAGTCATCTGGTTTGCCACAGTGGGAAGCTGGGTAACAGACTTGATGGATCTTTGGTCTGATCCAGCAGGGCTCTTTTGCTCTTCTTAGGGGCAGACAGATTGATGCAAACAACCATGTGTTAGTTTTGTATCTGACTGAGGGCCTTCAGTTCCCGTCAATGTTTATAGAAATCTGATAGCACCTTAGGTGTATCAAGGGTATTCACAGATTTTTGAGGAGTCACCAGTGGATTTGCAGCTGGTAAGCTAAGGGATTCATCTTTTGTACTCTGTTAAACCCAATTATCCTGTGTTTACAATAAAATGTTCAAAGCAGCTCACAAGACCTTATTAATATACTGTATAATGATAATAACACTTGGAACAACAGAATGCAGCAAGGTAAGATGGGGAAAGGAAATATGTTTAATGTCCCCTCATCTGTGCATCCCTTTTCATGAAGTATAAAATGATAATTTCCATCTCCAACTTATACGTGAACAATAGTAGAACAGTATACACACACAGGTTTGCATACATCTCGTTGGAAAAACTGCAAGCTGATTTACTTCTAATTGCCAACATGGTATTAATGTTGAATGTGTGGAGATAAATGTGTGCATGTGGGAGCTTGTGAGATGTATTGCAGATTTCTCCATTACCAGGACATTTTGAAAAGTTGCAATGCTATATAGTATATACAATATTTACTGCGGACTTTAAGTTCATGTCTGAAATGCAATAACTGTACTGTACAAAGAATTATAGTAATAGCCAAGCCAACTCACTCTGCAATTGTGAAAAAATCCATAAGTTCTGATGTTGAGGCCTTGTTCCAGTATGTGAAAAGGGCATCTACAATGTATTGGAAAAAGCAATTAATAAAATGTGAGTATCACTGATGTGAATAGTTTTAAGGACACAAAGCAGGAAAGCTAGTATGTTACACAAAGCAAAACCTGGTTTGAGACTACACATCTAACAGCAGACAGCCTTCTAAATATGCATTTGAGGTACAAGTGCACAGCTTATTACTCCACAGCTCTTCTGTATAGGCTCTCTATTCTATACTGGTCAAGATTACATAGCTTGAACTAGAGATGGGCCAATCTATCAATTTCTCTCAGTTTCTAATTTTTCCACTCTTAAGCTCAGTTCACCACATTTCCACATTAAAGGTAAAGGTAAAGGTACGCCTGCCCTTGCGGGCCAGTCGTGTCCGACTCTAGGGTTGTGCGCCCATCTCACTTAAGAGGCCGGGGGCCAGCGCTGTCCGGAGACACTTCCGGGTCACGTGGCCAGCGTGACGAAGCTGCTCTGGTGAGCCGGCACCAGCGCAGCACACGGAAACGCTGTTTACCTTCACGCTATAAAGCGGTACCTATTTATCTACTTGCACCTAAGGGTGCTTTTGAACTGCTAGGTGGGCAGGAGCTGGGACCGAAAGACGGGAACTCACCCCGCCGTGGGGATTCGGACCGCCGACCATGCGATCGGCAAGCCCACCCGCGTCCCATTTCCACATTAGCTTGTGATTTTAAAAAAAACTACTCAGGAATATTGCTCTGCATTTCAGCGCACATTTCTCCTAATATGCAAGCAATACCCCCTAACATGAAGCATTTCTGTATTGTATTTTTACCTTTTGCTCATTTTTTTGATTGAAGAACTGGATTACAACATTTGTAGAAATGTGAAATTCAAAGGATATTTTGGGAGATACCCATTCGGGAAGGATTAGGTAGGTTTTGCAGGGGAACTAGGATGAGATATCACCTAAGTGTGTAAGCTGAATGATGTGGAAGGAAGCATTCCCCCAGGTCCCCAGCCATGTAAATATATGCCAGAGCTTTGAATTGTGCTTGGCAATTGCCAGGAGTTTCTGAACAGTCTTCAAAACCAGTCCCTTATACAATACATAGCAATAGTCTAATATGGAGGTTTAGCAGAGCATGGATAATGGAGCCAGATTCTCCATTTCAGACCGGAAGGAGCTTCAGCTGGTGGAAGATGCTCTGTGCCACTAACACACATCGGGTATCCAGGGACAAAGCTGTAGCACTCCTAAACCACAAACCTGATCCTTTTGTGGGGAGAGGAATCCCATCCAGAACAGGCTGAACTCCACTTCTGTAGAGGGATAAACTACCCACCAATGGTACCTTTGTCTTGTCTGGATTAAGCATTCATCTTGTGGGCATTTTCTGCTCATTTATATAAGTTTACATCCCTTAGTAAGTATTTGGTTGGTAGAATGCCAAATTCAGAGATGAGTTCTGGGGCAGGGAAGCAGGAAGCATTGAAGTAATCAAGTCTTCAGCCCCTAATAAATAACAGCAGAACCAGAAAACTTTTTGCAGAATTAAGCACAAGGAATACAAATCAGAAGAGAATCTAACAGAGGCTATTACATTCCAAGTTACACATGACATGTTACAGCTGTTACTGAACAGGGGTTTAAAACACTCACTGTCAGAATTTAAGAAGTGAAAAGCTTTTGCTTACCATCTGACATGCTTTTTAAAATATGAAGGAAACACATCAGTAGACTCCTGATTTCAGCTTGATCAAGCTTGTCACATCGAACTACAGAACTTCCCAAAGGGCAAATCTGTTGGTTCTGAAAAATACAGGAATAAAGTCGGACAAGAGGCTCATCTTAATGCATTAAGGCACAAACACAGCATCTCAAAACCGAGAGTTGGGTATCCAAGGACAAAGGTGGAACACTCCTAAATCACAAACCAGATCCTTTTGTGGGGAGAGGAACACTCACATGTTGATAGTGTAAGTTGCTAAGACACACCAGCATATAGACCAATCTAAGTTTGTACATTGCACCCAGATCCAATTCCCTTTTTGTACACATTCGATGGTTACCTCTCTCAAGCCTTCAATTTGTAAACAAGAAAAACTACTTAAAGATAAGAGTTAAAGTAAATGCATATCTTCTTTTGGGCAATTGGTCAGTATCTAAAGGTTATGATACAGCTATGCTTCAATATGTGATTTGTATGTGGAAATGCCAAACCATAAAGCAATTACTTCTGAGCAAAAGTACTACACTGCAAACGCACACAAACACACAGGAAACAGGAATATCACACAAAAGCCAAAGACAATTTGACAGTAAATGCTTAAACCTGCATTAATTAATTAAATAAGCCTTACAGATGTTTCAGGCCTTCTTTCAAGTGTTTGCCTGCATGCCTTCTCCCAGGCATACTAATTTTGAGATAAAAATATACAATTACATATGCAGAGTAGTCTTTCAATTCTATTAAGATCAACTCAGGTCTTTTGACTTCCAGTCCTGAGTTGTAAAGACTTTCTGCAATATTTGTTGCTGCAGGAAAGCTCTACACCCAACACTGTAGCCCCCAAAGGCAACTTGCTTTGAAATCAATCAGCCCAAATAAAATATTATCAGCCAGGAGAAAAGCTTAGAAGTAAGTCAGCTAGGATAAGTACCATCATGAAGTGTATAATAAAATAGCAGCTATGTCCAGCAAGAAACGAGTATAACTTGAATATATGATATTCAAAATGGCTACACCAAATTTTAAAATTTCAGTACTGCTGTCAATTGCTTCACACTGCAAATCAAGCCATTACCATGAAGAAAAAAAAATTAGATGACAATTTTGCCATTTAGCAGAAGTAGCCTTACAGTGTGCAGATCATTAACAAATCTGATGGTGTGGTTTTTTACATTTCAGTATGCCATGATACTTTCAAACAATTAAGATACTGTTTCCTCTCCAGTAGAAGCTTCTTCAATGCTCAGGGCAAAATTGGCAACAAGCTGCACTCAGAAACTTAACCAAATAAACCACACAAAAATGAATACTTCTTGTAATGGAGGAGACACAACAGCATGGAAATCTCTCTCTGGTAAAGATGGAACTGTCAATAGTGAAAAATCCACTGTAACACGCTTTTTCTTTGATGAATGGTAGTGTTCTCGTTCCTCTCCACTAGTAAATAATGTATGAGCAGAATGCCTTCTGAGAAGTTTCTCCCTCTGCCACAAGGCGGCATGTCAGGGTTAAGAAGAAAACATTAAACCATGGTGTGACTGCCACAAGATCCAACCTCAAAACGTTAAATATATGACAGGTAAAAGGCAAATGCAACTGAACGTGAGAGGCTAAATATGCTTAATTATTAAAACTCTTTCACTGAAAGCAACCATGTGGATTTATACCAGTGAACTAAGACAAGTAGGGCTGTATCCAGTGGTAGTCACAGTCTAAGAAGATCCATTGAAATTAATGAACCTAAGTTATCCCCCTTAATTTTAATGGCTTTACACCGAGTATGGCTACTATGGAGACAGCCCTTGGTGAATTAAGAGTGTCCTTCAAAGAATGGTACTATATTTCCTAAAAATATTAATTTATTGTAAATTTTCCTGCATTCATGCAGTCTAAAAAATAGCCGAAATAAGTTGGTATTATATATACACGTAAGTAAATACACATATAACATATTTATTGAGACAGTGGCATAGTTTCCTCTAGAAATTAATGTTCACTCAATAGGGGTCTCCCCTTACAGCTAGACACATTTTATTTAATGTAGAATAAGAGAAGAACTAGAAATGGCTACTCATTTTCCCTCAGCGGAGTAAATTATACAGTAGTGGCAAAAAAGCAAGATTAGAGTGTGTAGAAGCTTCTCTTACAGGCACAAATATATAAAAGTACCCTTACCTTGTCAAGGGAATTGCTCTTTTCACTATGTCTTTCTAGGAGACTGTTTCCTGAATCTGTACTTATAAGAGACCCTCTTGAGTCTGCATTTCTTACACAATTAACATTTGGAGTCGAAGAGGTATATGGGGATGCTGAATAATAAGATGGTAGAAAAGGGATACATTAGAGGCTCTGCTAGTGTGAGATTCAACCTGCATTCAACTGCCCCTCTTTTATTCAAATCACCCTTCCAATATTTATATGCTAGGTAGATGCCAGAAACTTGGCTTGTAAAGGGGTTGCCAGCTGGGTGCATGTTTCAGGTGACAGAATTCAACATCTGGATTTATCAGTAGGAGATATCTGAATGCGAAGAAATATAGACTTACCATATTTTCCCATGTATAAGACTAGGTTTCTTTTCCTTTAAAATGTCAAAAATTAGGGGGTGTCTTATACACAGATACATCTCCTCCCCATTTTCTTAAATCTGAGTCCCCCCAAATAGGGAGTGTCTTATACATGGGGGCATCTTATAGATGGAAAAATACGGTATTTAGTTATAGGATATACATATATATGACTTCATTATCTTATATCCCATTCAAGAAACTAATGAGTACCCAATTTTTTCCTTATAACCAACTGAAAGTAGATTTGGCTGAGAGAGTTTCATGGGAACAAGCTCTGTAACTGTGTGGAAATTCGATATTTTTAAGTAATATAAGGGCTTAAAGGGACGCGAAGTTAGAAATAAAACGCAGAAATGGAAAGGAGAAACCGTAAGGTAAAGGATGAAGAAGTATATGTGAAAGTTATCAAAATTAGATAGAAAATTAATTTAAAAACCTAACTGAAAAGAGAGATCAGCGAGAGCAGGAAAATGAACTGCTCTGTCAGGCAGGAGAGAAAAAACTGAGGAGCAACCACACCTGCCTCCCAGAGTTCTTTGCTGTCCTGCCTCCATCACATGACAAGATAATACCCAACCCATTGACGGCATCAGCAACAGACTCAAATTTTGAACCCATGTTTCAGTGGCATAAGTTCATACACCATCCAGTATGCCACATCAACATTACATCCCTCAAAAGATCATTTTCACCAATAAAATATCTACATGTAAAGTATCAAATTTCATTTCTTAGAAGGCTACATTTTGCTGTTCACAATGAGACATTAAAAGCTTTAATTAAAAGAAGTGTAAAAAATATTTTTAAATAGTTACCAATGCCTGATATAGCACCAAACACGTCCTTGTGGAGGTTGCTATCAAGGGTATTCACAGATTTTTGAGGAGTCATCAGTGGATTTGCAGCTGGTAAGCTAAGGGATTCATCTTTTGTACTCTGTTAAAAAAGAAATAATATCACTTCCTTTGATATTCCTAAAAGTGGTATATTTTTACACTAGAATTTTTTCAAGCTTTAAAGTTTCAGAAATAAAAATATCCACTCACACTGCTGGAAGCATTAATAGGGAAAGGTGAAATATCCTTGACATCAATTCGATGGGCATTTTCTATCAGCACCCCAAAGGTTGGCAAATACAACGTAGCTATTCTCGCTTGATGGCTCTGTACCAAAACATTTTAGTTCTCATTATTCAATGGGAATATACACACACTCACATTTCAGATATTCGCTGTTATGGAGCTAGAGTTATAACGTGATTTTTGGTTCTTGCACATTTAAAAGTAACAGATGTTAGCTGAAAGTCCTCAAACATATCCTTTTTGCAGTCAGATGGGAGTCACAAGTTTACTGAATCTGAATTTCCTAATCACAATGTTAGCAATTAAGAAAAAGCTCAACAAGTATGGCAAGGTGAGAATTAATAATATATTTTATAGTGCAAGAAGCATATTTTGCCAGGTGAGCAAGTCTATCTTTTCCCAATGATTCATTCTTGCTTGAGCTGGTAATACAGGCAAAAGGCTCTTTGATCATCTCCCCCAGTGTTCTCGAACCTCATCTCAGAGGATCTCTGCTTACAAAGAAAAAAAAGAGTTCTGGTGCACGGACAGGCTCCCCCTATTCAGAGAAGTGCAGTAAGTTTAGAATCCTGTATTGGCTATGATCTCTGCATCTACTATTAAAGCATGAGTAGAGGAGCCCTGGGATTAAACTGACTTTATTTGTGAAACTTCAGTAAACAAGCACTGCAGGTATTTTGTAACATACACAGGCTAGCTTAGTGAAGTTCATAGAGGGAAATATTTTCATCCCCTCCTCCCTCCTGTAGCTACCTATAACCTCCACAAAGCCTCTCCAGAGATGTGGTGCCCCCTCCTGAACAATGGGGGGACAGAGCATGGAGGCCTTGTTGGGAGAAGGATGGGAAGGTGAGATTTCATTTCATGAACTTCAATTTATCTGTGAATTGCAGCCTAATTTGGGATTCCCAATAGTCCCATATACCCACACCCCACATTGTTCAGGAGAGCCCCTCAACCTCCCCCACAGAGGATTCTCATGGGGCACAGGCGGTTACAATAAGGAAACAGGGATATAAAACATTTCTTCAGTTCACTTCCTTCAATTAACTTTTCGTAGGACCCAAGTCACAAAAACTTCTGCACTTAATGTAACTAAAAAAGCTTCTGAAAATACACTTACCCTGGAAACATATCTGTCATCCAAAGAATGCTTTATCATCAAATTCTTCAAAACACTGATTGCAATTTGACGGATGTCTCTGAACTCTTGCAGTGCATTTCCCACCTCCCTCAGCAGCAGTCCTACCAAGAAGTGATGCTTGCAGAACTCATCTGATAAGGAATAGTCAAGCTGAAGGTCTGAAAGCAAACACCACTGTTAAGAAAGTGTATATTCTAATACAGAAAGATGCAATCCATTGCCATTTGGAAGCACCACAATGCTCACTACATTCAATGTCCTCTTATCTATTAGAAAAACAAAATAATGTATCTACAGATTGTTCTTTTGCTTTTTATACGCAGAGCCAAGACTAAAAATGAAAATATTTAAGCAGTAATGAATTACAGGCAATTCCCAGTTTATGTATATTCTACTTGCACACTACTATGCACACACCGTGCCAGATACCCAGAAATGGTACCAGGAAATGGGGATCACCTGGTCAACTGAGTTGGAGGCATGGCGGAGCTTCCACAGCTGCCACGAGTGGGGAAGAAGCTTCCCCACGCACGTCAGCTAGGTTGGTCAACCAAGCCCCGCCATCCCTCTGGCTCCCACAAGCCAGAGGGGCAGGAGGGCTTTGTTGAGCAGCCCCAACAAGCCTCTGGCTCATGAGGAGACCCTTCCCAGAGCCCAAAGAGGATGAGATGAGAAGGCTGAGAATCTCAACAAAGCCCTGCAGCTCCTCCAGCTCACGAGGAGACCCTTCCTCTGTGGGCTCTGGTTGGAGCCAGTTGGACTCGCCAGGGTGCTCTCTATTTTACGTGATTTCGAATATGCACACGGGGGCCCAAAATGGAAGCCCTGTGTAAATGGAGAGTCACCAGTACTGACAGTAATTCAGTAATTTACTCTCTTGAGTACATGGTGGCTTACTGACTAAATATGAACTCTTGGAAAAGAACTCAATTGGTGTTTGAGTGGTCCAAAGCTCTTTCTGTGGTCCAAAGCTCTTTCATGCTTTATGTGGCTAAAGAGCAACATTTATGCATTTTAAATAATTTTCAGACAACCACAATTTCACACAAATATGTTCTGCTAAAACCAAGCAAGTGTGGGTGACTACAAGCAAAAGGTCAGCTATCTGTGACAAAACTGAACATGCATTTTTTAAAAAGAAAACAACCAATGGAGTACCTAGTAATTCAGTGGCACTTGTACTATCAAACTTCTTGTTTTTAATATTACTTTTTTATTTAGCCCAAGAACTGGACACACAGCTAGCTAGCCTTCCTTTTCTTGGTTGGAAAAAAGGCAAGCACCTAGAATGTGATGCATTGGACACAGATATTTCCAGGAAATACATCTAAAGAAATGTAAACAGAACTTGGAAAATGGTGGAAAAGGCCTTATTTTGCTTACGCACTGTGAAACAGAGGAAAAGCAGAAAGAAAACATGCCCCATGACTCCAGCTGTAGTGAGCGTCTACCATCTGTGTCAGCATGTTGTAGACAACAAGAGGCTGATGAGGCAGCTTTTGGAGACCCCATAATTAATATATCCTTAAAAGGCTAGGCCTTTATATTTGTGTGCCTCACTTCTTGCATAATAATTCCATTCTGTTGGTCCAATGACACCACCAGGGTGCATATGCGTATAGAATACGTCCAGTAGGGGGAAAGACGGAGCGAGTCCTTTTGAATTTTGAGAACTTGAAATTTCACTTTAAAGGATAGTTTAATATTTATGACTGCTGGAGAAAGTTAGGTATGTGATTCATTGCAATGTACCCCATAGTCTTCATTGAATCTGAGTCACTCAAAAATGATTCACAACTAATCCCACCCCTGCTGCTCCACAATTAGAATCAGCAAAGCTTGCTGACACAAAACAGGTTCCAAAGAGAGCATGGGCATACCCAGAGGGAATTTATTCCCTTTGAGTAGCAGTCCACATCACAAAATACTTTTGAAAACCCTTTCTGTATCAAGGATTCTGCAATGAAGTGCAAGGGAGCTGCTATTCAATACACACAAGCTTGAAGCATCCATGCAAGCACAAGACAACTGAAAGGAAATAAGTGTTTCTTGATACTCTGGCTTGTACTAGCAAGATGAAAGCTCTGGAATGTTTTCAATCAATTTATAGTGACATGTTCATGCATTTTCAATTTGTTTCCAAATGAGCACGTCAAATTTATTTTAAAAGCTTTATTTTATCTATAGCAGTGTAGCATGACTCACAAATGGAATTACTGCACATTCTTCCTTTTTACACAAGTCACCATGATTTTTAAATTAGAAAGTCAGTGTAGGATCAAACAGCACACTCCACACCTACCTATAGGAGTGTCATAGGATTCCACTGTTGGTGAAAGAAAAGCTAATTCAAAGGAAAAAAAGAAGCAAAGTAGGACAAAACCAATAAGTAACAAATAGCTTTTCTGGTTTGAGACAACACAAAGAAACAATGCTAATGAGACAGTGTGTGTGTGTGTGTGTGTGTGTGTGTGTGTGTGTGTTACACCAGAACTAAATTACTTACCTATCTGCTTTCACTCTATCACTTTATTATACAAACTGGTGAAAATTAGAGGAGACAGAAATAAAATCTCTATCTCACAATTAAAGAACCCCAATATACATGTATCAAGTCACAATAGATTTCAAGATTTTTCTTACAAGACAACAATGTCAAATTATCTTTTCAAATGTGAATTTACCTTGATATCGCTGAATCCTGCCTTTTCCAAAAGGCATAGGTAGATTCAAAGGAATGTAGTGTTCGTGATTACATACTACCCGGAGAAATTCAAATTTGAATTCAAAGAGGGTCTGCAAAAATATGTTGAAGTAATAAATTGGTTGTTTAACAAAATTAGCATATTTAAATTCAATAAGCAAGCAAAATATTTTTAATATCTGGTTTCAGTTCTTTGAAAGGATGGCTAAGAAGACCCAATAAACAAACAGCACACTGTCTGATTTCCATACAATGTTTTCATACAAGGACACACATATTCTGATAACATGAGGGCTCATTATATTTTTTCTAATTTTATTAGAAATATGATAGCAGATCTTTTTTTTAACCAATTTCCAGCTTATGCATGGTGAAATCTTGCCTGTTTTGTGAGATAAGATGAAGATATTCTTGGAAACCAAAAAGCAAGCAAGCTTTGCTTTGGAAACATATTTAAATATTGCAACTAAGAAAAAAAAGCACTGCCTATAAAATATATGTATCAGAATGCTACATGCATGAAGGCTGCAGTTACAGGACACAAAATTACGAACACAGACCTTTCATGGGTGTAACAAGGACACAACTTTTACTGGTTACAGCAAACTGGGTTTGGTCTAGCATGGGGACAAGGAACTATCCATCGTGTAGCCCCATCTGCAGAACTCAACCAGAAATGAAGAGCTGGCCTGAGTACAGGGCAATCTGGGTGTAGGCAAGTCCAGTGGGCCTCTCAGGCAAACTAGGATTCATGCCACCCATGAGCTCTGTTTTAGGTAGAAAGCAACAGTCCAAGATCCCTTAAGGAGAGCTGCTTAGTGGCAAATAGGGTTAAACTGCCAGGCTCTGCTCCTCAATCAACCAAATGGAAGCTCACATTAGTTCCCTGTGGAAGTCTGTGCTATGAGTCAGTCAGCGCTGCAGAGGGGATTGCATCCAGGACAAGCCTTTTCCACCCACAGAGGGAGCCAAATGGGGTTCTCTAGGTAAGCTGGGGACCTGGGACAAAACCCCAAAAAGACAATGGCAACACAATTTCTTACAACAAAGCTATACAGTACCTTCGGATCTCCTGGAGCAAAGAAGCTGATATAGTTATTAATTTGCTTGAATACAAATCCTCTGTCCATAAAGGTGAAACATCTCTGCAAAAGCAGAAAAAGTCACAAGAGCATTCTAAAGGCATGGTAGCTAGTAAGTTACATTTTTATAGTTATTTCCAAGAAAAAATCCATAAAAACTAAACTAGCCTAAAGCAGCATTCAGATGCCAAGCATCAGATGCTTAATACATGACTCATAAATTATATATTTCTAAATTAAATCATCTGAACTTCTTATTGTACACCACATTTCAAACAAGTTTTTATTGTACATAACCACTTATGACGAGAGACTATGAATTCATAGTCTTCACTATCAATCCAGGATCAATGATAACTGGCAAAATACCCCAGAACTGCAGGATTTTTATTTCAAAAGTGCTGCCCCTTCTATCATCTCAGTACTATCTATAATTAATAGCAGAACATTCAAAATCAGCTTTAATCACAAAGATTTACATTATCTGTTTTCTTGACACATACTTTTCTTTCACATACCAATTTATTGGGGTGTGGGGCGAGAGATTGCCAGCTATTGCCTTCTAAACCTGCTGCATCATGTTGACCATGAGTGAAAAGAAAAGCTTAAGAACAGCTTGAGTTCTGCATGAGCAATTGCTAAGACAGTGGTGGGGCACACCCAACTACCTGTCAAAATCCCTTGCTTAGGGTTCCCAAAGCTGAGGCTGTTGGGTGCTTGGGAATACTGCACATAGGAGGTTACTAACCCTGTGTTCAACACTTCCCAAAGCATCAAACACAGGACAAGCAAAGTGGTTCTTTCTCTCCCCATGGGGAGGTGGGGGCACAGAAGCTGGCATTTTGCAAGCATCAACATGTGCAAGAGAGGTCCCTCCCAAAGCCAATTTGCCAAAAGCTGGTTTCTTCCCCCTGCATTTTGCAGATCAGCTGAGAAAAAGCACCCCTCTCACAAACACAATGCAAGAGCTTGTAAAGTTTTGTTTCTGAGATGGCTGCTGCTGTTTAGCAAGAGTCCAATACAACCCTCCTCCTGAATGAGGAAGTCGTTTCCATGGAATCCTGTCAAACTGAACAGGATTTAACCCCTAGTCATTAACTCATGACAGCAGGGGAGTTAAAAAACCCCAGCCGGGCCTTGGCTGCATGCAGCCTGTTCCCTACTGGATTTAACAATGTGCTCCCATCCACCCAGGGGCATGGTCTGGGGCAAATTGGACCTCCTGCCAGGCCAAGTTTGGCTTGTGGGCCAAAGAGAAATTTTTGTAACACTTCAGGTATTGCTATGTTGACTAAGTGAAGCCTTCTTCAAGAAAGGCCAACAAAGAACCATACTCACTTTTATGAAGACAGCAAGGCTATGGTTTGCATTTTTTGAAGCTTCTGGGTTATCTTTATACTTCTGAGTAATATGTGGCATCAACATGTTTACTACAGTTTCTACAGCGTGATGATAAGATGCTGGAAATCTCTGATTTCGTAACAACTAGGGGAAAAATTAAGCAACAGAAATTGACAAAATTATCCTTTTACACTTACCCGGTGTTTGAGAATTGGTAGTTAAAAACTCAAACCAAGAGGAAAAGACAAAAAAAGTTTCTGAATATCACTGGCATCTGTTTATTATTAACTACACTTATATCCTGCCCTTTCTCCAGCCAATGTGATTCTCTTTTCCCCCTCTCATTTTATCCTCTCAACAATCCTGTGAAGTATGTTAAACTAAGAGATAGTGACCAACCCAAGGTCATCCAGTGAGCTTCACAGGTGAGTGTGGCATTGGACTTCTGTCTCTCTGGACTATGTCAAGCACAACTATTCCACGTTGGCTCTAATAAAATATATGCTGTTAGATTATTTAGAGCAGGAACATCTTTGATATAATTCTGTTTGATACTCCTTCATATGTTACAAAAATATAAAAATAAACTGGCCAGGCTGGCTAGGGCTGATGGGCACCAGGTTGGGAGGTTGTGGAAGGCTGTACTAAAGAAATAATTGGACTTATGCAATGTTCTGTTTTGATACAGCAAAAAAATTGGAAGTGCCTAGAATTAAAGGGACTAAGAGGCTAGCTGTTTACCAAGCCTCTTCAGAATATTATACATACCTTTACTTTAGCATTTTCTAGCAGGTGCTGGGCCATTGATTTGATTAGAATTTCAAAGAAAAACCAGGAGTACTATTAAAACAAAACAAAATCAACACATTATACAAGCAGTCCATTTATACCTGTAATACATAAAATGTTTATTGTTAATGGGATTATTGTTAAATGGTTTCCACTGGAATTACTACTCTTTGTTTACTCATTTTTTAAAATAAAAAATGTAGATAACTTTGTCAAATTGTTGCAGTCCAGCTTTTTCTGTCTTGTCTCCTCATTCTTTTTTAAATATCTGATTTGCTACCATTTTTATCTTTTGCAATAGCAATGCAGTTGCAGTACAACCAAAGTGCTATTGAGAGTTTTTAGGTCTCCTAAGCTTTTAATTAAAAGTTTATTCTTTGCAGACCCTGCTCAGTTGATTGCTTCCTGTCAATTGTGGCTGACGGAATAGCAATGAATAGTAACTTAACTGCCATTCAAAAAGTTTTGCTTAAACTGAAAGGATATAAGAAAAGCAATGTAAAGAAATGGATAATTGAAGTTCTTCCTCACAAGAAAAGAAACCAAAACTGGGGCAACCAACAGACAGTAATCCCCTAGTCATAATCATCAGAAAAGAAAAAAAGACGTAGGTCCTGCAAACAAGACACTTATAAACACTGGAAATTCTGAACAGAATTTACTTGTGAGCGAACATTATAGAAGGTTCATAGCCATGAAGAAGGGCAGATCCCGGATAATATATCTGCATATTAAGTGCAGTGTGGAATCTCCACTTAAATTCCACTTTATGGAAAAGCAATGCCTCAGCAGCACTAAAGACTCCAATCTGGTTATAGAACAACCCCACACAGTTAAATAGGTAATACCAAGAAAAGCAGCAATCAATGTTTTTTTCAATATAATACCTTTAACAGCTTGTTGCTTGTGAGAAAGTCAGCAGATGGCTTCAAGATTGTTGTCATGGATTTGGCAAGTTCTTCATGTACGGTCTTATATTCAGTAGCAATGTAAGGCTCTGCTTTGTAAGCATACTTGGCAAGACAAAAAGTGAAATTAGCTTTGCATAATGCAGAAGTAATTATTACAGATGTTAATGGTACAATTTTTGATAAAGCATCTTTGTATGAATCCTACCTTGACATAGGACCTCAAGTAGCTATCCAGCCCTTCTTCATGACATTGGGCAACCACATGGATAATAACCCTAAATAAAATGAAGTGACCATAAAATATCATTGCAAAGTACTTTGACAAGAATTAGAACAACCTTGGCAAATTAATACCCCAAAATTGCTTTTTAGGTGATGGAATGTACCAGGACTGTTGCATCAAAATGCTTACCTTGTCACGTTCACTGCAACCTCTTCTTGGGTTGCTCTAGTAAGGACTCTAAACAATTGGTTTAAAATAGTAGGCAGGAAAGCTATCATCACATGGCCCTCCATAGCATGAAGACTCTAAATTAAGAAAATAATAAAATGAAATCAGAATTGGATGAAAATCAAAACGTATATATATATATATATCACAGAAGTGTAATGCTAACAATCTTCAGAAACTTTACTTGGATGCAATTTCTATTGAAATAACAGGACTTATACAAAACTTATTCTAGGAGGAAATGTGGAAATCTAAGAATATAAGTAAATGGTTTCCTATGCAACATCTGATGCTATTCCATAGCCTGTCAGATTTCAAGCAGATGGGGTAAATGAGAGAGTGCACTGGGAGTTGAAGGTATACATATACGGGATACATTATTAAATAGCAATTCAGCAGCAAAGACTGACATCAGCACAAAAGCATCATGCCGAGGGATAAGTTGACGTGTTCAATATGATAGTGGCTAATGCTGCCTTGTTAAAATACTTGTCAAGACATTTGTGAAATATATGTTGATTAAATGTTGAAAATACTTTGCAGCCGCAACATTGCAATGTGCATATTTTGCATGGCAAAATATAATAGTATGGCTAAAATATAAAGGAAGGCTAAAATATGTGCTAGTTACACCTGATCACTTCCGCCCCGCATGTTGTGTTGTGGCATACCACAGGAAGACTCAAATTCAGGTTACATTTCAAGCCACAATTAAGGAAGATTAACTATAATTTAGTATGACAGTCTACACTAGCAAGCCATGGTATATATCAGGGGTCAGCAAACTTTTTCAGCAGGGGGCCAGTCCACTGTCCCTCAGACCTTGTAGGGGGCCGGACTGTATTTTTTTTTTGGGGGGGGGAGAACAAATTCTTATGCCCCACAAATAACCCAGAGATGCATTCTAAATAAAAGCACACATTCTGCTCATGTAAAAACACCAGGCAGGCCCCACAAATAACCCAGAGATGCATTTTAAATAAAATGACACATTCTACTCATGTAAAAACACGCTGATTCCCAGATTTAGAAGGTGATTGGGCCGGATCCAGCCCCCGGGCCTTAGTTTGTCTACTCATGGTATAAATTATATACCTTAAGATACTTCACAAGATCAACTCCTAAGGCTTGAGCTCCAGACTCAGTTTTTTGACAATAATGGAAGAAATTGTTTAAGTGCTGGTCCTAGGAAAAGAAAGACAAAAACAGGTTAAGTCAATTAAGACATAATTCAAATTGATTTGATCAAATGTGCCATTGCAATGTCACTACCTCTAGATAAAAGACATCCACTGTAAATACGACTAAAATGTTCCTCCTTTCAAGCATCCATCAAAGTTAAGCTTGAAAAGAATAGAGCAATGTGACGGAATTCTCAGCAATTTAAACTTTGCATAACTCCTGATTCTTGGAGCTACATTAATCTCACAGCCAAAGCTTATGAAGTTTGTTTTGCTTGCCTGGTGTGCTATAACAGCAAAGATTTTATAATATGCACCAGAAGACTAAAAATTATTTTTCACTTCTCTCCTCCCTACCTACTCCAACTCAGCCCTACCATCACTGAACACGGACTTTAGTCATCCTGCCCTCCAGTTATATACAATCTAACAGCACAATCAACTAAAAAAATGTGGTAAAAAGCTCTAGTGGAATAACCTACCTGTGTATATACAGTGGAAACCAGATGGGTTGAAATCTTTAACAGTGGTTTGCCTCCATCTACCCATTTAATTTCAGAACCAGAATGCTGTATATAGAAAAGAAAGATAAAATACTCTTGATATTACATACGTATTGTTATTACACCAAATATGGACATGTTGGCCTGGTCTGCACATGCAGAAAAGCCATGCTTTTTTAAAGCAAACCGTGAATTAACCATATGTTGTCCAATAATGGTTTGTTTCTTTCGCACAAATGAAAGATTTCCCATCTACTCTTGAGTTAGCAAACGCCAAATATGGATATAATATAACACTAAACCATGGCTTGTTTGGCAAACCAAGGATTCGAAATGCATGATGTACTTTCTATAGCAAGAACCATAATAAATTATTGGTGCATTTATTTATTTATTTGCAAGGAAAAATTATTTCACAGTCAGTCAGTGACACATGACACAGTGAACAGGTATACAGTGAGCAGGCTTGACACTTTAAAATTTGAGAATGACAAAAATTTAGTAAAGCACTTTGAACCATCTTGCATAATTAGATACAAAAACTAATGTTTGCTTTTGTGTGTGTTTTAACAACTCTGCCCTATAAAGTTCTATGAAAAATAATCAATCATTATTGTGTTGTTGGTTTTTTTACTTTGATCATGCCAGGTTCTTGATTGTTGAGATATCCACATGGAAGGTATGCAGCTACTGGGATATGTTGCTCATTTGTCACTACTCTTCCATCTTTCAACAGCTGAAGCCAAGAATACCCAACTACAAAATTGCAAAGAAAAAACATTTCTAATATTCACACCTTAAGTATATAATATAACACAACACAGCCTCATCTAGCAAGACTTGGTGAGTCTTATACTTCCTCCGCTAAAACCCAGTTAAACATGTTAGAAGGGCTCTACCCAATGGAACAAAGCACACAGTTTTATCTACAGCAGTTAGAGTGCAATTTCAATTTTAAAAAGCAATTGACAGTCAATTTATTTCTCTAAAAATGCTATTAAAGTCAGTAAATATATTTAGCATTGGACTCTCTTTATTGTAACCCAGCAACAAGAAAATGATGGATTTAATGATAAATCTTCAGAAGCTATGAAATGAGTGTCAGACTTTGAATTCAACACAGAAAATCCAAGTCAATCATACCTTGTGCTTCAATTATGTCCTTCTTTTTGGTAGTCCCTTTGCTTGAACTATCACAGCTGACATGGTAGAAGGTAAACAACAAATGATGTTTTTCGTGTAACTGTGTGGGCAACTCTATTTTAATCTAAGAAGAAGAAACATATAAGTTTGGCTTCAGAGAATATTCCCAATAGTGTCATGGTATGCCTCATAAAATGTACATAGAGGAAATAATTTTCAATGCAATTAAAGCAAGATTCAGAACAAGAGATCATAGATTGGGAGCAATTGGTGAAAAGTGGATTATATGCACTTAAAAAAAGACAAATATAGAGTGAATTCTAGAATCATTTCAATGGAGGTGGCAGCTGTGATCATGCAAACAAATACACACAGTGAATTTTCCCTCCAATATAGTGGAGTGCACTGCATGATTACATGAATTAGGTGGGGGCTATCTAAAATGGAATGGGCAGCATATACAGATTTTGACTAGAATGCACGATTTCAGCTTAATATAATCTTAAGTGTACAGTATTAAAATACAGTGGTGCCTCGCAAGACGAAAAGAATCCGTTCCGCGATTCTCTTCGTCTAGCGGTTTTTTCGTCTTGCAAAGCAACCCCATTAGTGGCTTAGCGCTATTAGCGGTTTAGCGGCTATTAAAGGCTTAGCGGCTGAGCTGCTAAAAGGCTATTAGCGGCTTAGAAAAAATCGCAAGACTCGCAAGACATTTTCGTCTTGCGAAGCAAGCCCATAGGGAAATTTGTCTTGCGAAGCACCTCAAAAACGGAAAACCCTTTCGTCTAGCGGGTTTTCCGTCTTGCGAGGCATTCGTCTTGCGGGGCACCACTGTACAGTAGTAAAGTGCTACCCTTAAAAGTTCTAATTAAATTACAAAAGTGAATATATGAGTTTAAATATGCAACAAGGCTGGACTAGAACAATTATACCCAATAGAATTCTAGCTTCATATGTGTTGAAGAATTTTAACATGAGACGTATCAATGACAATGTTTTTTCATATGTATATCTGAGGCAGTTTTGAGACCTATTTGCCTTGGGACTCTGCTATACAGCTGCAAATAAAACGTTTTAAGTGTGCAATATATAATGTGACACTAGATGGCGATGGTGAGCCTTATGGAAAATTCAATGTATTTTTAAAAAAACTTTTTTTAAAAAAGCATTTTCAGAATGGTTTTTATATGTGTGTAGATTTCACCTTGATTTTTGGCTCTAAAAAGGGCTCAAAAAGAAGCTCACAATAAAGAAACAAAAACCCAATAAAATTCATTTTTTAAAAAATTTGACATCTTTCAACAGTTACACTAATGTAGCGGCTTTTATTGCATACCCTAAATTTGCTCTGGATAGTTAGGGGAACCCCTGGGGCAGATTTAGGAAACATGCAGGGAAAGGAGAGGGGCATGCAACCGTAAATCTCTAGGAGATTTCTCCCAGTGGTTGCAGGTGCAACACCAGATAGGCATTAATTTTGCTACCCAACTGAACAGACCTCCTCTGGAAGCTGTCAGCAACTACAATGGGCTTCAAACCTCAAGCAGATACCATGGGCACAATCAGTGACCTTCTTTAAATGAGAAGTCAAAATCAAAATGGATTCTAGCTGTTTTATCAGTAAAGTTTTCCACAAATTATTCATAACACACCACAAAGGGTTCCTCCTCTTCTTCTAAATGATTTAGATGTACTAACCCCCTTAGTATGCAGGAAAGCGTCACAAGCCAATGGAATTTATGTAATGGTGATAGGCAAGTAAGATCTCTTTTCTACTCGTACATCCATAGAATAATCCCTAAAATGAGTTGTATCCTGCACCCCCCCCCCCAATTCTTCAGAAAACTATAGAGCTCTGGTTTTTGTAGATAAGACAGGTAATCTGAGAGAAATTATACCATCTCATCCTACTATCTTCCAAAATGTTTCTCTGTTCATTTTTCTGTTCCAGAGATCATCCAGGGCTTCTGACAGGACTGTCATTTAAGGCAGCAAGCAATTTCTCCAAAGTAGTCAAGAAACCGTTCAGATCCACCACTTATTTATTACTAGTTACTATTTTCCTATACTTTCCTAAACACTCAAAGTGCTTAACATGCATTATTCCAGGTATGCTTACAACAGGACTGTAAGATGGAAACTGAGGCAGACAGATGCTAGCTTGCCTACGGCTACCTGATAAATTGATTAAGACAGTTGCACTCTAATTCAAGGAACCAGTTCCACACTCATCTCACTATGTATTTGGAAACTGGCAAGTGTACAATGGGTTACCTCATCATAAAACTCTGGGTTTTGGTGATGATGCAGAACTGTAGCAAATGCTTGTCTTGTAAATACTGATCCACCGGGTCTGCCATAGATGCACTAAAAATCAAATAACAAAAGAAAGACTTATTCTATTGTATTTTAGGTCAAGAACATGAATGAAACATTTTTTGATGTGCTGTTAAAAAATCCAAAGAGAACTTCAACTATCATTATGTAAACACAACACTTGCAGCAACATGCCAAAATACGGCCTAGTGAAAGGATCTCAGGTAGCAGGGCTGGAAAATTTATCCGCCTGATACCTTATATAGCAGGAGAAACTTTCTCAGCCAAGAGTCACATTCCCTCTCGGGAAAGCCTCCAGGGTCTGCCTATGGGATTAACTGATCTGACTCTTATATTTAAGGTGGGCCACATTCCAGCCATACAAAAGTCTCTCTCTCTCTCTCTCTCTCTCTCTCTCTCTCTCTCACACACACACACACACACACACTCAATGTATGACAACTACACAAGAACTATAGTTGTTTTATGCAACTAGACTGATGTCTACAATTTTAGACCATAAGCTCCTGGGGGCAGGAACCTGTCTTTTTGCCTAAGTTATTTTATAAATTCACATATGTATGTGATGTGATGGCACTGCATCACCTAGAAACTATATTCAAATGTAAGGGACACATAAACCAAAATTAGGTAGCAGCTGTGATTCGAGCATACTCTTCATATTACTTTACTGAGAAAAGCATGTCTGAATAATCAGTAAGGATGACATACTCAATACCAGGCTTCCTCAACCTCAGCCCTCCAGATGGTTTTGGCCTACAACTCCCATGATCCCTAGCTAGCAGCACCAGTGGTCAGGGATGATGGGAACTGTAGTCTCAAAACATCTGGAGGGCCGAGGTTGAGGAAGCCTGCTCAATACTTGTCTACAAGTACAAAAAAGCCCTACTAAAGGAAATGTTTAATAGAAAAGGTCATAAACGTATTCTGGTTTTTTTTATATATAAATTTTTATTGGTTTTCCAAACACAAAAAATAAAGACAAACAATACACAATACACAGACATACAAACATATAAACATATATAACTTCATAATCTTATTTTCATACACCTTACTTCCCGGACTTCCCCATACCTCCCCTTTTCTGCATCCTTGTTTTACATTTCTTCCGCAACTCCTCCAATTAACTAATTATTCAATTCAATTTCTTTTAAATTCTTCCTTAACTTATTGATTACAGCTGCAATTCTCTATTTCCCAATTCCTTGACATCTTAACACTCCTCAATTTTACAACAATTTTTAAGATATATTTTGAATTTCTTCCAGTCTTCTTCCACTGTCTCTTTCCCCTGGTCACGGATTCTGCCAGTCATCTCCGCCAGTCCCACATAAACGTATTCTGAAGCAAACTGATTCCTGCCTTCAACTACTAGGGGGAGTTTGAGTTCCTACTTGAGGACACCTTACCTGCGCAGAATAATAAGCAGTGAATTTTTGAATAAATATCTGTAAGTCAGATCAACAAACCTTTAGAGGTATGGAATCTTCATCATCTGAATCCTTGAATTCAATGCAAACTGCAATATTTCTTGCCTAAAAAGAGCACATACAGAGATTTTTGTTTTTCCTAAGAAGTGCCAGACAAGCAACCAAAACTTCCAAGAAAGAACACCAAATTCAATTCAGATTCAATTTGGTCTTGAATCTGAATGTTATTAGTGGCCCATTAACTCACCTTTGCAAATGACTTTTGACTGTCATATTTCAAGTGCTTTGGATAAACATAAAGGTGATTGTTGTAGATGGTGAAAGGCTGAGTGTGTTTTGGTATACAGGGAACAAACTCCTCTACTTCAAACGTTACTACTGTCTTGGTACTGTTTTCAAACTGTTTCATGGGAATGTATGATGAGCTAACAAAATCTGAAAATATATTAAAAACCAATAAAAAAATTGAAGAAAAAATGCTTTTCAGCTAGTTAAAAGTACTTTTCTATACTTACTTGGGATGTCTGGAGAAATATTATCAATTGTTATGTCTAGATTTCCTAAAATAACTGGTAGCTTGGCCATCTTTTCAGGTCTATGGAAGGAGGAAAAAACAAAGTGACTCAACAGAAAAATCACTAAGGATGGATAATACAGCAGAACTCAAAAAGGAAAGGAAACACCCCAAAAGGCTTGGAAAGCATGACAAAGTCTTTTTTCCAGAGAGATAGGTAAACACTACATTCCTTGGCAATACTTATATCTCCTAAATTTGTGCAGCTTTTCACTGAAACCACATCAAGTCCAATTTAGCAACTTCCCTTGATGACTTGACCCTCACAGACTTGACTTTTTTAGCCTTATGACAAGAACAACTGTACTGACCACTGTCTCCAGTCCAGACTTTTCACCTATAATCTGTTTGTAAAAAAGAAATTCATTCTTCCACAGCACCCATTTAACTGAAACCTTAAAACAGGAGAGGCCAACCCAGAGCCTTTGGTATGATGGCACTCAATAAGGCCTTCTTTGGTGCCTCCAACCTCCATAATAAACAGCAAGCACTTGACAAATGTACAGTATGTGAAAACAGATTTGGCTCTGAAGTTGTACTTGCATGAGTAGAAAGCACTTCCACTCATACTCAGATTGTTTTCTTTATGGAAAGAAGCTTGCTGCAGACTCAGTTCAAGAGATATTACTTTATTTGTTTGAATTAGTCTTAGCCACATTATTATTATTAAATTTCTATACCGCCCTGTATAGATATTTAATAATTTACAATATAAAACCACACAAAAAAACCCCACACAACATAGTAGCAAACAAAAACAATACCCCATAGTTTAAAAGGCCATAGATTGTTTAATTAGCCAAAGGCTTGGGAGAAGAGGAATGTTCCTACTTGGCACCTAAAGATATATAACAAAGGTGACAGGAGCTGCTTTAAGAGCCCTTAAGGAAAATAATGCGGGATGTAAGTATTCTAAATAATAAATATGTACAGTACTCACTTTTTGAAATCAGCTAACAATTTAAGCATGTCTTCGTTTGAGAGCTTGTTACTGTCTTGTTTGTAGAGTGCTGAAAATCGTGCATTTTTGTCTAGTGTCCCAGATGCATCCTTAAACAGTGTCCTGAAACATGAACTCTTATATAAGAATCTCATTACAAAATGAAACAGAGAAAAAAGTAAAAGTGAACGCTTGACATCCTGAAATTAGATTGGCAAACTCTGATCCACTGAAATATGCATAAATGCTCCCAAGAAAGGAAGCCAACATTTATTGTGTAACAATACATATTACTACCTACACCAGTGGTTTCCAAACTTCTTTCCCTGTGGAGCATTTGAAAATTGCTGAGGGTCTTGGCAGACTACTTAATGATTTTTCTGCATGTTGCAGCAACTGTAATGCAATGAGCAAGAAGCAGCATGATTTTTAAAAATTGTACTTTTAGTGCTTCTTTTATTTCTTATATAATGCATTTTATTTATTATAATTTGAATGCCGTAGAATGCAGATTGTAATGAACAACAAGAAGCAATAAAAACACAATTAAAAATCAGCATGAATATTTAATAGAGTGAATTTGTGTTCTCAGCCACAAATCCACAGAAACACCACAGACCACCTGAATAAAGCTCACAGACCACTGGTGGTTAACAGAGCACAGTTTGGGAACTCCTAACCTACACAATGTATTTTTCTAAAATAGTATCTGGTTTTTTCCAAGTCCCGTGATTTAAATACAATAGGTTGAGAGTGACTTTAGCCTTGCCCACTAAATGCAAGGAATTCTGTCCCAAATACTAAATTGAGTTTTGACTAAAATAAAAAGGCACACAAATTAATACGCTTTGAAGAAAAGAAGCCTCAGTCTTTACCTAGCTGCCCATGCGAATGGCATTCTGTACTGTCCTAGCCGCTGACATGCCTGCTTTGCATTTTTGAGAACTTTTTGAGCAACCTGTAAATGATAATAGAAATACATAAGTTTTTCATCAAATAACATTTGGTTTATTTATTTATTTAACCTCACTTCCACTGATAATGACTTATCTCAAATACTCATCCTTCATGATACAGTGGTACCTCGGGTTACAGACTCTGCTAACCCGGAAGTAGTACCTCGGGTTAAGAAATCTCCCCCAGGATGAGAACGGAAATCGCGCGGTGGCGGCAGCAGGAGGCCCCATTAGCGAAAGCGAGCCTCATGTTAGGAACGGTTTCTGGTTAAGAACGGACCTCCGGAAAAAATTAAGTTCATAACCAGAGGTACCACTGTATTCTTCTTGACAGGACCACAAGAAGGGTCTCTTTCCCAGACTGGGAATTTTGGATTGGAAGGTACTGGCGAAGATTTTAGGGTTTTAACACTATTACTCACAATAGTAGCCAAGACACAGTATGGAGCAAGACACATACACATCTATATGTGTTATAATTATTCTCACCAAGTACCTGGGATCCGTTCTTCCTTTTCCCATTTCTGTTACTTTACTTGATTATTAAAATGCATATATACATGGTATTATTTGTATGCTGCCTTTCCACAGTTCCAACCATGCTCAAGGCAGCTTACAACACAAAAAAATACGTAAGTACAAAATACGTAAGTACAACAATTATAGGCAGAAAAAAATCAAAGGGGAAGAGGAATCCTACACACAAATGGTGAGGAGCCAGTGGTATGTTCATAAGTTTCCAAATATGATTTGGAGGACCAGATTTATAATGTCTGAATTGAGCTAGGGGCATCAGAGTGAAATTTTGTATCTGTGTTCAAGGCAACCATGAACCTCAGCTCAAGTTCTGCAGGGCCCGGACTGATTTCAGCTATAAAAGCTGGGGCTGCTGAACAGATTATTGAGTTGGGGTGTTGTTTGGTGGTGTTGGGGGTTTCCGCTTAGTTTTTTGTATCTTTATTTTACATCTTGTGATTTATTTGGAAATTGTTCAGATTGGTTATGTATTTTTTAATGATTTATTTCTTGTTTATGACTACTTTTGTTATGTTGGTGCCTTTGACTATGGCAGGTTTGAAGTGGGTCAGCAAATGATGGCTTGAAAGCAAGGCACTAACAACAGTTCTCCAGCTCTGGTAAAGGTAAAGGGACCCCTGACCATTAGGTCCATTTGTGACCGCATCTGGGGTTGCGGCGCTCATCTCGCTTTATTGGCCGAGGGAGCCGGCGTACAGCTTCTGGGTCATGTGGCTAGCATGACTAAGCCGCTTCTGACGAACCAGAGCAGCACACAGAAATGCCGTTTACCTTCCCGCCGGAGAGGTACCTCTTTATCTACTTGCACTTTGATGTGCTTTCAAACTGCTAGGTTGGCAGGAGCAGGGACCGAGCAACAGGAGCTCACCCCGTCACAGGGATTAGATCCGCTGACCTTCTGGTCGGCAAGTCCTAGGCTCTGTGGTTTAACCCACAGCGCCACCCGCATCCCTTCTCCAGCTCTGATGTCATAGCAAATTACAGTTAGAAAAAGCCAGGAAGTGAAAGATTGAACTTTCAAGAAAGCAGGGAGAAAAGAGGGAGAAGAAACAGAACCTGAAAGCCCCTAGTGTATCTCCAAACCACAGCTGAGAAGACCTGGTTTGTGATGTCTGCACTGAGCCATAACATTCAAGAGAGATATTGCACCACATTTTGAACTTTCATGTTTAACAAAGGATTCAGAATCTGATCTGACCTTTGACTCTGAAAAGTTCATTTGCCTTGAATATATGTACCGGTACTACATTTTAATACTCCAGTGTTTATGGCATTGCAAAGAAACTGAGACTTACAAATGGGATGTCAAACAGTCATGAGTATACCTTAGAAGAATCAGAACTTTTCATATATGGTTCAGCACAGTGGGTAATGCTCCCTTGCAGGACTTTCTCTATTCTGGCCACTAGAAATATATCAGGATGTGGACATGTCACTGAGAATATTCCCTGAAAATAAATGCTTGGTTTATTGACACTGAAATGAAAATAGAGGTCTTTATTTTGCAAAGAAGTGGAAATGGTGACTTCCTTTATTCCTTACCTGTTTAGGATATTGTAACATTATCTCTGGAATAATATCCTGAATCCGATGTAAGCAATCACTGCTGTCATTTAATACCTGTTGAGATGTACTACCTAGCATATTCCTCACTGTGCTATGATTCAAATCCACATGGAAATCTGATGAAATCTTCCGGTTCTCTTTTATATCAAAAAGTGACAGCGTTATGAAAAATGGCTCTACCTGGGCATTTAAAAAAACAAAACAGTAAACATGGCCATCAGGCAAAGAAATAATGGATACTTGATAATTGGCACATAGAGCAGTTATTATATTATACAGTGACTTTTACTTTATAAATTCAATGTGTTGTATTTTAGAACCTCTATAATTTAGAGAGCCAAATACCTTATACCACTGAATATGTAAAGATTTTATGCTCTCTTTTAGGAAAATGTATTTTATTCAACAACAAAAATACACACACTATAATATGACACTACAATGTTTGCTATGTAATCAACAACTAACAATTACTCATGAAGTTCCGCACAACTTATGCCTTTCCTGTTTTCCCTCTTTCTGCTGGCAATAGCCACTCATTCTGCTTCTGGGCTGGTTCATAAAAATCTTGACAAACATCTACAGATGCAGTTATGTCCCTCATTGTTTTGTTTTCTCTAAACATCCATTAATATATCAAGGGGGTAAATGAAGGGGAGATTTAGGCATGATATTGATTCATCATTCCAACATCAAGGGACTTGAGAACTCTCAGAAGTATTTACATTTGTTGTTGGTCCTTCCTCATTTTCAGCCACACAGCTTTGCAGATTGAAAGATAAATCATTGCACTTCACCAGAATCTTCTTCCCAAACTTCTCTTCAAATGGTTTTACTTCTGGCTCAATACCAGAGAAGTCAAGTTTCTTTAAGATAAATAGAAGAGAGAAAGCAATGTCTCACTTGCCAAAAAAGAATAATTATTTCTTTAAAATTTTCAATTTTCCTACCAAATTATCTAACCTGTGCATCCGGATCCAATGCAAAGAGTTTAACTCTGCTTTCACTTTTGAATTTGATTTCAGAATCTCTGGAACTCTGCAAAATAAGAAGTTAATATTTTAAAACAGGATTTTTACTACAAACACAAAAGGTTGTTTCTTTAACTGTAAACATATGTTACGATTTTTCTTTGCAGTAGTTTACTTATGAAATATTTCTAGAGAAAAGTGAATAATTGGTACCATTTCACAGAGTTCTCACAAATATAACAGATTAAAACAACATAAAATCACAGAAGCAAAGTGGATGCTAAAAATGTACATCTCAAGCGTCAAAAACCAGAGTAAAGAGGTGCATCTTCAGCATTCACTGGAAGCTGTATAATGAAGGCGCCATAGGCATCTCTGTGGGGAGGGAGTTCCAAACCTTAGGGTATGCCATAGAGAATGCCCTCCCTGGGGAACCAGGCAGAGGGCCTTCTCGGTAGTGGCACCTGCCCTGTGAAACGCCCTCCCATCAGATGTCAAGGAAATAAAGAACTATCTGACTTTTAGAAGACATCTGAAGTCAGCCCTGTTTAGGGAAGTATTTAATGCTTGATGTTTGTAGTTTCAGTATTTTGTTGGAAGCCACCCAAAGTGCCCAGGGTATAAATAAATAATTATTATTATTATTATTATTATTATTATTATTATTATTACCCAGACACAATCCAAGTGGGTGCTTCCAAAAGTACATCCTCAGAGATTTTGTAACCCTGAAGCATACATATTTGCTTACATTGCAAAGTATGGAAAGGTATATCAGGTATAATCAAGAGTGTGAGCAGTTGAAAAACAAAAAGTTGAAAAGGAATCACTGTAGCAAGTGCCAAGGTTAAGGAAGTAGTGCAGAAAGACTGCCTGTTCTTATGAGAAGAAAAACTAATAAAATGAAGAGGAAGTACTAAGTCATTGAGACAAAGTTTATAGTGTAACAATGGGGCAAACTTTCACATTTGGCAACATATTCAGTTCTGCACAGTTCTCCAGGAATAAAGTTTATTTTTGCAAGAACTACTTTTCAGTTATTTTTGTACTAAAACACAACCTTCCTGACCAACTTACATCCTGTCTAGAATTATTTTGGTTCGAAACTAAAGAAGAAGACGACTGTGACAGGAGATTTTGGCACTACACTAAGAATTAGGATGGCACAGTGAACTCTGCAAAACAAAACAAAACCTCTGCAATGATACTTTGTGAAAATTAAGAGAAGAACATATGATAAGTAGCATATTACAATTGGAAATTCTGCCACAAAGTTTATTCAAAACAAAACAAGAAAGCATCCAAAATATATCGGGCACACATTCTGTCACTTTTGAGAATGCTTAAGACATGGATGGGACACCTGTACATGCTCTCCAAATGCTGTTGGACTCCATTAAATCCTCTGTATGGCCAATAGAAGAGGATAGGAGTTGGAGCTCAACAACATCTGGACGGTTACAGGTTCTCCATGCCTATGTAAAATGGAAATTTGTTTCTGTATAGAAAAAGATAGCTAACAGATTGATGGTGAGCATTAGAGCCTAGTTCACAGCACTCAGGAATTTTCTGGAGAGGTTCCAAAACAAAGCAAAATAAGCTGATCGTAAAGAGCAACAAAAAGTACACAGCCCCTGGAAGGCAGGGGAACATAGCATACAAGAAAAACATAAGATGCCAAAATAGATTCTAGCATTCACGGAAACAGGAAGCTGCATTTGTGGCACCAAGATTAGATATAATAAGCAGGTGTTCAGACTTTCAAGGAGGAGCCAAATCTCAATTATTGCCTATAAACCAAAACATTTCCTATTTTACAGTATATGTGCTTTAAAAAGTACAAATTTTAGAATTCTTCACACTTTAAGTTTTATATCCAGTTTAACTTCAATAAATTAACAAAATGTAGTCCAATCTATCACAGATAGATAATTAGTTTATGCTTGTTAAATTCATCTAGCATCACTGGGTACTGGATGAAAGGAGCAACTTTCTGTAGTTGGAGGAACTCCAAGGAAGTGCAATTCTATGAAGAATGCTACTAATGTGGCTCTACTCCCTTCTCTTTCTCACTGATCTTGCTACCCAGTGTCTGGAATCACCAAGCACTGTTAGATAAGTAACTTTTATTTGTCTTATTTTAGGAAGTTCAAGGCCAGCATATTGTTATCTAGGCACACTCATGATGGCACAGAGAAGCTTATCTTAAAAGCTCAGTCTTTCCATTGCCCAGACAGAACAAGAAGTCTGTTTTTGAGCAGGGAATGCTACCTTTTAAAAATAAGTGAATAATTTGAAGCAGCAAAAAAAGATGGCAGAGCACAGAGGCTTTAGTTGATGAATCACAGATCTGATACTGGAAACTATCATCCGTCTTACAGTTGAGCCTCCATAGATTGCTTTAGTTAAACTAGACAGACTAGTCAACCCATTACATTCTTCAGTATAAGCGGTATAAACGTGCAAAAAAGCAACTTCATTTTGGGGTGGTTTTGGTTATCAACATTAACTTCTTTGTAAGATTTAGAGACTATTAAATAACTATTTCAGAAATACTTGTCTGATATACATTCGGCAAAAGAACATTTATGGTGTGAAGGTATCATAAATCAAATTGCAACACAGTCAGCAGTGCTCCCATAATTAGGATTAGATTTTGTAATTCCTTTATTGACATACCATACTTTAAAATTTTAAAAAGCACAACATTACCTTGGCACTTTCAGGAAAATAGCTATCTATACTGGATGAGGAGTTGTCCATCTTGCTTTGCTCATCATCTGGAAATTTTAAAAAGTGAAATTATAAAAATTCACTGATGACTTTAGGAAAGTGCTATAACCAAAATGTTGTAAGGATTAACTTGAAATATGGAGAAAGGAAATTCTAACTTGAGATGTTTTTGCTGTAATCAGCAATTCCCTCAATACTTTTTTCTATCCTAGGTACTATCTAATGGACCAGCTGCTTTTTACTGTGATAACTCCAAGTACTCCCTAAATAAAATGGTTCACAGTTTAGCCATCACAAAATCATTCAGATAATTCTTTAAGGCCGCTTCAGATGATGGCAAGCATAAATCTTAAAAGGAGGAGACATAGTCATGGTAGATAGATTTATTAACAGGTATTAGTAATCACAGGTAGATAAAATCTTCGTGTTCACATTATAACTCTGGGTACCAGATACTGGGGAGAAGCTTTCAGCCCTCTGAAAGGTATCTGGCTGGCCATTGTTGGAAACTGAATGCTGTACAAGATGCAGATTTAATCTGACCCCTTCCCCTTCCCTTCATAAGGTTGGCAATATGATCCCAAATCTAAAGGAAAAATGGTCCAACCTAAGAAACCTGCCACTCCTGCAAATGCAAGAAGACAACTGGGGCTTTAGTGGAAGGGGTAATCCCTTCAAGAATGTTGATGTTAGCTAGCAGCTGCACAAAGAAACAAAGTACGGGTATTTCATGCAGTGACTGAATAGAGTGAAGTGTGTAGTTACTATATTGTATTTAGTAGCCACAAATCCTTACAAATCTTTATTTTAGTGCATCACATTTTCTAAATTACTGAGCAAACGTAACTCGCACTTACCCTCATGGGAGTCTCCATTTCTTTTTTCTTGCATAGCAGCTTCAAAGTTTAATTGGAGAATTTTATTTAGAGTTGTAATCCATTCTTCCATTTCAACTTCACTGTCTGCTGCAAGAAGATAGCTACTCTTGTCTTGCATTTTAAGCTCAAAGGCAAAACGCCGGACTTTGTTGTTCTGCAATATAATAAAGGATATTAACATGTTACCTGCAATGGATTTATTTATTTATTTTTGTCAACTGAGGTCATCACACATATATAAGCATTGGATAAATAAATGTAACTGTTTGAAGTGGAGAAAAGTATCGTGCATAAACATGTTCAACATAAATTCCTGGAGCTTGCAGAACTTGTTAACTTTTTGAAGCCCTTTTTTATTGCTTTTTCTTGGCAAGTGGGAAAGAGATTCTAGCTTCACATTCACAGAATTAAATCTAAGCATATGTTTTAGGCACCGTGTAAATTTTGGTGTGTAGCTCTAAACATATAACAATCAAAACAAATATGAAATGTGTAGATATAGGACGATGTAGAGCCAATATAAGAATTGTTTTTAGGTTAAATTATTGTATGAATTGTTTTATAATAGTAAGATAAATAACTAATTTATTTAAAATATATACTATCTGTGTGCTTGCCTCTGAACATTTTGGAAGGGAATGGGGAAGAAAAGAAGAGGGGAAGCAGCTATTTTCTTCAAGCAAGTGACAGGCTTCATTTGAAAATCTTAACTTTTATAGTCCTTACAGCTCAATAAAAATTACTGCACTGTGGACACCATGATTAAGAGTAGATTTAATGAATTGTGGGCCATTGGCAACATTTCCCAAATGTGTTGCTGTAGCCCATATTGTACTGTGGAGAAGGGACTTGAAATACAGGAAATAGGAGAATCTAGAGTGCCAAAAAGATGCAGGTCAGAAGAGGGCTCTAAAGCCATGGACTATGAATCAACTATGTAAGCAGTGAAGCAACTGCCTGGAGTGGAGAAAATTATTGTGGATCCCAAAGAAGCAAGTCCCCAGACATTGAAATTTATGATATGGAGTAGCCATCATGGTGCCCTTCAGGTGCACCAACCCACGCCAGCAAGACCAGCCATTAGGAATGTTGGGAGATGTAGTCAAACAACACCTAGAGAGCCACAACTACTCTTTGGGATTCAGAGGTGTAAATGTCAGCTGTTTTAAAAGTTTTGTGATTGAGCTAGGTTTCAAACTTTCACACAGATAAAGAATTGGAACTAGTAACCAACTTTATCATATGGGGAGGAATACTTACGACTATTTTCTTTTAACCCTAAGATAAAATTTCACACATGGGACCATTTATAAATGAATGAATGAATGCATGCATGCATGCATACATTTCATTTCATTTCATTTATTTATTTACGGCTATTAGCCCATAAAATATGTACAAACATAAAAAAGCACAAAGGCTTAAAAACCGAAATATCTGACAACAGAAGGTGAACACTGCGATGCAAGGGTGGGTCATTGGGCAGAGCCAAATAACAAACAGGATGGGGCCCGGAGAGCTCCAAGGGACGGTTCACAGAAAAAGGAAAACTGAAGACGAGATCCGACATGCACTCTCATCATAACTGTCCGATTAGATTTTGATGTTGTTGTTGGTTTTTGGTGGTTTTTGCGTGTGAGATAACCGCATTCAGGAATCTCGCCACCTGCAAAGTAACAGAAGGATCTGTATCCTGCAAAAGCAGTGCGGCGTGTGACTCAACAGGCCTGCCAACCAAGCGCAGTAAAGCAGGGCCCAGGAATTTAGTCCTGGCTATGCTATGCAGGGGACAGTTGAACATTATATGTGGAAGAGATTCAACAGTTTTCCCGTCACACACGCATAGCGGAGACACCAAACCCTTGGAAAATCTGTGGCTCAGCAGGTTCGATGGAAGGACATTGAACCTTGCACGAATAAATGCAAGTCGGTGTGGTACTGATGAAAGAGATGACATGTATGATGGAAGGTCAAGTGGTGGGGTTATTCCGTGATACCTGGGGGAGCAGACACCCCCACCTCTGGCAAGGTTGTGTTGATTTTCAATGTCTGCTAATCTTTGCTCAATGAGGCTTTTAGCTGAGCGTAAGTTCATCTTTAGGGAGTCCGCTGGGGAAATTCCGATGCTCAGAAGTTTGGCATGGATTTTTCCTACCCACGGATTAACAAATTCGTCCCGCCAGAGGCACTGAAAAAGGTAATGGTCGGGAAGCCTATGCCAGCTGGACAGCCAATAGCCAAAGACTCGCTTCCAGATGACAGTCTCCAATGTTGCAATCCTTAACTCCAGACGTATGGCTGCGTTGCTCACACACATGGGGAGTTTCAGGAGGCGACGGAGAAACTGATTCTGCAATGTCTCCAGCGATGTTAAATTGGACCCAGGGGCCCAGAGCGGGGCAGCATAGCAGAGGGTGGAAACCACTTTTGCGTGGTATACCTTCAATGCAGAGGGGATGTGGGAGGCTCCGTCAGCCGCAAAAAAATGGAGTAGAGCATAAAGTATTGTTTTCCCTTTGTTTAGTAAATACTGTATCTGTGGCTTCCAGCTTAGGTTGTAGTGAAAAAAGACTCCCAGGTATTTAAATTTGAAAACCTGTTCTAATTGGACTCCATCTAACTTCCAGCTGTAAGTTTTCCGAGACCTGGTAAAGACCAGGACTTTAGATTTCCCATGATTAATTGTCAGATGGTTGAGTTTGCAATAAGCCGCAAAACTCTTTAGAGCTCTGCATAAACCGACTCTAGAGTAGGAAAGGATCGCTGCATCATCGGCGTATAGGAGCAAAGGGCAGCGAAAATCGGCTAGGCGGGGGGCATGAATGTTGGCTTGAGACTCATTCAGAAAGAGCTTCATATCGCTAATAAACAGGTTGAAGAGGAGTGGGGCCAAAATGCAGCCTTGGCGCACACCTCTATTTATTGGGACCTCGTTGGATAGGTTTCCCGCAGGTGTGAGTCTCACTCTAGCCGACGACCCGTGGTGTAATGCATACATAAATATCGATTTCACACATTCTGATGCAGGTCTACAAAATCTGTAAACTAGAATACTACAAAATATAAGCAAAAGATGTTTATTGTTGCAAAGCAATTTGTAAGAATGTATGATTGCCATTATGACTGAAATGAAATAATTACTAGGAGAGATCCAAGAACCCAATTGTTTCTAAGTTTTTTCCATCAGAACAAGTCCATAGTGTTCTTTGAGCAGAACACAGATGCAAACAGCCCATTTTTGGCATTTGTTACTGGCAAGATTTAGACTTGGAGTTTACGTTATGTTTTGCTTCAAAGGGTTGGGTTTTTTTATAAAAAGAAGTTAATATCGGAAAGGTCAAGTGAAAACATTTGGGAGTACAGCTATGAATGTGATGAAGCTCCTACAACTGAAATCCCACACAAGAAGTTATGCAAAACATTTTAAAGTCATATTGCAGCACTGTTTGTGCTTCTATTAGATCTTCATGCAATCTTAAATTCCATTCTGTGATTTATTTATTTTTCTATTCTTAACTCCAGAGACATAAAACTTAAGTCAGCAGATAATCACAAATAATCAGTTGACAGCAGCAACCAACATAACACTTAGTGGCAATATTTCTTGATTGTTTTATATAAAAACAGAGCACTCTTTGAAAATCTTGATATGAACTGTGCTATCATTACTGATTTTTTAAACATAAAAAATGCACACATTATTTTAGACTATTTGCTCACTAAAAGCACAGAAACACTATGTTTATCTAAATCATCCCTATTATTCAATATGCACTGAGGGAGCAGTCGTGTATATTCAAAAGTAAGACTGTGTTTAACGAGGTAAACATCCTACTATATTTATGACTGCCACCTAAACCTATTTATCCACTCCAAAAGTACTGAAGAGAGACAAAAGGAACATATAGATTTAAGTTTGTACAATACTTAAACATATTATACAGTATAATTCTCTACTTACCTGGACCACTCCCATGCAGGAATCCAAAAATATTGACCCTTTTGGTTCTTTTGATATTTTCTCATCTTTGTAGAAATTTAGGTTATATGATCCATCACCAAGTTGGAGAAGATGAAAAAATCTTCTTTTGAATGACTAGTTATGAAAAAGTAGTCACATTAAAAATATGAAACTAACAAAACACACACAAAAGCACTCAATTTCCATATACCATAATCCAAAGACCCTATTAGGAACATGCAAGGGCTTGCAAGCCCCCAAACAGGAACGGTCATATTGCCTGGCCCAAAAGCAGCTTCAGAAACATCCTGTAGCATTGTGAAGAGTGGTTGTCAGAGGAGAAAGTGAAAATGCACTTTCACAGATCTTTAGTAGGGAGTTCTTCGGATTTCAACCCCAATGCTACAATGCACTACACACGCTGAGGTGCTGTTGAAATCTATAATATTGACAATGTGCAACTGTGTGCACTGAAAGTCTAGCAGAAGAGATAAAACCTACCCGCATAGTAACACTGATAGCACTGTTCATGTTGCCTTTGTATAGCCATCCTTGTTTTGTAATTCCTCCCTTCTGAGATCCTAGAGAGGCTGCATCCTGGGGTTTGTTTGTTTTTTAAAAAGAAAAGGCTACAATAAGACAGTGATACATATTTGGGTCATTTATCATGAGCTCCTGGTTCTATATATACAATGGTACATCGGAAGTCAAATGGAATCTGTTCTGGAAGTCCGTTTGACTTCCAAAACATTCGGAAACCAAGGCATGGCTTCCAATTGGCTGCAGGAAGCTCCTGCTGCTAATCGGAAGCCGTGGAAGACGTTTGGGTTCCAAAGAACAATCGCAAACCGGAACACTCACTTCCGGGTTTGCAGTGTTTGGGAGCCAAAATGTTCGACTCACAAGGCGTTCAGGATACAAGGCACAACTGTACTAGAGATCGATAAATAAGTCCATTTCAGTTTCTTTCTGTTTCTCATTTTTCCAACCTTAATTTCAATTCACATTTCTACATCTTTGAGGGCCCTATTAACTTGTCTGCCAATTGTAGTCAACAGTTTGATGTTACTGTCGTATATCAAGATTGCATCAGCTTTAACATATGTTTCCTTGAGGGAATAAGGCAGGATATGAGAATAAAGAATTAGTTTACAAACTTTGAAAGTACCTCATATCACGCCATCTGTTAAATCAAGAAGACAATGCCCTAACTAATTACACAATAATTTTATAACAGAAAGTGACTTTCTGGTTCCTGTAGGTCAGGTCATTTCCCGATCAAAGTTGCACACAGGTCATGTTTTCAAATGTTTTTTGAATCAAGCAAAAACTACTTAATGCTGATAGGTTGTGCCAATGGCCATATTAGATTATTATTTAAAATTTTGTTTGTTTCACATTTAACTACTGAGATTTAATGACACTTTCTCTAGTTTTGAGTTAGAGAGACATAGCCTGAGAGAATTTCCACCAGAGTTACAGTGAAGTCAGCAGGAGCTGACAATAGCGTTAGGTTCATTGAGCTGCCAGATATGCACCACAAACTAAAAACTGTGTTTAGATGGAGATTTTACACATCTCTGATAACCATCTGACACTCTACCATGCTAGAATATCTGAATAATTATTACATTACAAGAGTTTAAACTGACAAGTTGAAAACAGAAGTCATATGCTTACCTCATCCTTATCTGCTTCTTCATCAACTTCATAAACATGAACTGGAAGTTTATCTAATTTGGTCCCTTTGCTAAGAAAAAAAGAATACCACATCCCACAATAATCAGTTCAGGATCACTAGAGTAATGAATGGTCAATGCATATATGCACAGTAAAATACAGATGTATACTTGAAATAACATATATTATTAGTTTTCCTAAATGGAAGTAAAAGTAGTGGGGCTTTTTGTGGGGGAAGTGGCAGGTGAGACACTGTGCATGGTGTTAGCCTTTCAGGTTCAGCACAATTGTATCTTATTAGAAAATGGTATTCTATTTCTCTTCAAAAATATAAAAAACAAAGTTCCTATTTGCCAAGAAACCATTAAAAGGAACTTTTCTTCAAGCTGCAATGATCCTAATTATGGCAGAAAAGACAAGGTGTTTGGGGCATACTCGCTATATATTCTGCCAGTACTAACACACAGATCACATTCACCCCTTTCCATGTTTACTGGGGTTTTGCATTATTTGGCACATTCTATGCTCTTTAATAAAATGGAGTTGGCAACAAATATGTCCTCTCAAAGGAGAATTTGTTGTCTTCTAAAAAATGTTTGCCTCTCCAATCAATCCCATTTTGTAGTACCTCCCAAGTAACAAGTTGCTATTTTCAGAGGTGCACTGTAAAGGTAAAAATGAAACGAAGACATTTAAAGTTGACATTCCTTATAGCATTCCCACCCATAGCAACTTCAGATGCAACATATGGTGGTACAACGAAGTAGCATAAGAGCCCAATGACTCCTGTGTCCTGCATTGTTTCCAATGAAATATGTAGGTTGTATCTACATCTTGAACTCGGGGATCTCAAACCCCTTTCAGTAGTTCCAAAGAAGACGTACCAAACATGTTTAGGGCATGCAGGCTTTTTCTTTCAACAGGCCCATAAATCTCCCTGTGATGTAAAATCTTGAAGAAACAGGGTTCCCAGTCATAGGCAGAAGTGCCTAACAAAGTATGTTTGCGACATTGTGAGCATATAAGGAAGCACACGGATACAGCCTACTACTACAGTGCTACTCTGTGTTCATTGAAGGACCTCTTGAATATCCGAAGGGTGCAAGGAGGAGAGGCAAAACTATTTCAAACATTACATAAGCAGCACAAAGATAAGGAATTGTCACTCACATTGATTACTCACCCACACAGCCTCAGATTAGTTATCCAAAGTTTACAAAAATCTTATTGCAAGTACAAAGGTAGTATAATCCTAGAAAACCCTACTCACTTTGGAAGCTGTCGAAACTCTCCTGAGTAATCTTCATATTTATAATTGACAACATGCCAGTCCGAGTTATATGTTTTAATGCACTGCAAATAAGGACAAAACATATAACTTTGAGTGAGATTCTTTATAGAACAGTGTGATTTTCTTAGCAGTGCGAGTTTCTTTTTATTTAAATTGTTGCTTTTAAAACTGTCAGTTAAATTTTTTGATAAGATTTGTTATTAGTGAAAAAGCATTTCTCCCCATTAAATAAGGATACTGTAGTAAGAAAAAGTATAAAAATAAAAATGCACCCATATACTGTATAAAATTTATCACAATTAATATTACTGAATATCCGTCTGAATATACAACTAGCTTGTTCTGCTGCTAATCTGGCTAAAATTGCAGTAAAGCCTTTTCAACCCTCGATCAGAGGAAGTACATTTTTACTCCACCCATGCTCTGCTAACATAACAATTCTCATTTATTTTCGCTTCAACACTAGCTTTTCTTGCATGTTGGTCAAAGTCGTAATAAAAACCAAGGCTATGCTAGCAACTATGGGCTAATAGCCGTAAATAAATAAATAAATAATAAATAAATAAAATGCTAGCAACTAATTTTTCATAAAGGTTAATTTAGTAGCTGCCCTTGAAAGTCCTATAGTGAAATAATACAACTAGATAAACCATACAATTCTCAACTTGTAAAAAGTACTGACATTCACAACTGTGAAAATAACACATGTATGAACAGACTAGAATGGGAAGCAGAACAGTCAGCAGAACAGACAGTCAGAATGTCTTTACCACTTCAGAGAACACACTAAAAAGTGAGAGCTTTTCAAAACTCTTCTTAAAACTCCAAGAGGCATCAACAAAACTACATGTCTTCTATTCCAGCTAGCTGGACCCCTGAACAGAACCATTCCTTTTAGGGTTGATAACTATGTAACAACATTTTGCTGCATGTTCTACTTGCTACAACATAAAATTAAAAATACAAAGGATGGAAATCAAGTAGCAAATACACTAGAAGCATTACCTCTTTGACAAATAAACTCTGAGCTTCTTTCTCTGCATTATCAGGAATTGTAGAGCATACATATCGATGCTGTCGTTTCAGTACTGCTGTCTTTAGTGAGAGATCAAAGTATAATTAATTGCAAATAGTTTTCATTTGTATTTATAAGTGCTAATTACATTCTCCAATGCAATTCTATCAAGGTCTAAGACCAAGCACCGCTGAGTTCCATGCGGCTTACTCCCAAATAAATATGGCAAGGACTGCAGCTGAAATCAATATAAAATTCAACTAAAATGATTTCTAAAATCAAATAGCTCACAAGGAAAGGTTTGTTCTTCATCAATTTGTTACTTCATATTTTTTTTTGGAACTATATGTAAAATAGCAAAATACACACTATGGAAATAAATTGTCATTATGGTATTATTATAAATTACATTTCTATCCCACCTTTTTCTCCAAGGAGATCATGGTGGTGTACACTCCCCTCCTCATTTAATACCTACAATAATGCTGTAAGGTAGGTTAGGCTGAGAGGCACAACTGGTCCAAGGTCACCTAGTGAGCTTCAACGCCAAGGGGAGATTTGAACCATGGTCTCCCAAGTCCTAGTCCAACCACTACACCACACTTCATAACTAACACATTTTTATTGTAGCCTGGATTTTGTTAGTTTAGTCATCATACATATCATTCTGAGAGAGGGCTCTGTCCCTTAGTGCTCACAATCCTGTTTTTGAAATATGAAAAAAAGCCAAGAGAAATTGTCCCAGTTTTTTTCCACCTCTCTTATCTCAGATTCAACTTTTTAAGCATCTTTTTTTCTACCGTTGTTAAGGCTTTGTATGAGTTAACAAAGCTGAAGACTAATTTTCACAAGAGTGTAGACTGGCTGGAAGTTTAACTGACCAGAGAGACAAGGAACCTCATCCTGATTTGCTGCCTGAGACAAAATGGAAAAGTGTTTTGCCTCACCCAGCCACTACCGCTACTGCCACTGCTCGTCCCTGCTGAAGCCCTCTCCCATCAGAGAAGCGGTGGCAGCAGCAAGAGCTCACTAGAACCCATTGCTGGTGCTGGTTCTCCTCACTTCTCTCGTAGCAGCTTCTCCTCTTCAATTCCACAAACCTATGTTTTGTCTGTCTGTTGGAGTCAACAGAGGGATGGCCTTCATTTTCTTTCACTGAGTGCAGATGAAAAATGCCCTCTCCTAAGTCATCACCCCATTTGGGGGCAGCAAATTTAGGGAAATATTTTGGAACTACTCCTGGGAGTGAAGGTTAATTTGTATTTAAGCTTCAGGGAGCTTTCCTCATTTGCTTTAAAAAGGGGGAGAGAAAAAACAATCTTACTTTGCCCTCACAAGATGTGGTGGACTGTTACAGGACTATGTTATGACATAGCACTGGAAGAGGGAATAGCAGCTGACAGAAAAGCAATTTAAAGAAAGAGAAAACTGTAGTTGCTACTGAGAGGGCCCCTCCCTCCCAAAATTATGGGGAGTTACCCCAAAAATATTTTGTAAGGGAAAACCAGCCCCCACTTTTGCCTATCCCAAATTCAAACTGAAATAACTTTTTGTCTCAGCTCTATTTTTAGTCAAAATAATTCTTTCCTCCCCTAAATCAAACCTCCCCTGGCATGTCCTATTTCCCCCTCCTCTCATCAGTGTATGCCTGAACTATGAGACTCATGCCTCTCCTATCCTTCTACACCACAATAATCCTTCATCTACAAATCTTCATATACATAACTTCAGTCAAACAAAGGATCCCCAAGTGATTTGCCTCTTTTGATGTAATAGTCCTATGACTCTCTCCATAGCTATTAGCAATGGAGTATTACATTACATTACATATTATATGGAGTACAATAACATAGTATGGCTACTACTGTATTACAAATCAAATTGTGCATCAGAAAGTCAGCTCTGTGGCAGAACTGGTAGTTTAATTTGTTTTGTAAAGTACATTATGTGTATTAACTTTGATGTCTTCCCAATAATTCTTATCAAGATTATGGCCTACACTCTAGGATGGTTTTAAGCTTATTTGGAGTCTTACTGGATTGCTAACAAATCCCAAGATGTTTAACTTTCTTTGAGCCACATATACATTTGCTATTGTTTGCAGTCACACCTGCTTCCTGCATTCAATACTGGTCTCTCCATGGATACTCAACATACTTCTTCCTTTGTTCTGCTAAAAATAGTATTATCCAAACAGAGATAAACATAGTTCAAACCCTTTAAAGAAGGAGGGCATCCTTCTTTAAAACAAAGGCTATTTACAAAAAATAAATAAAGAAAAAAGAGAAAAAAGTAACATGCTCATATCCGGAAAAGATATCAGCATTCCATGAATTAAATCCAGTATTTTTATCAAACATTTCAGGCAAATATCAACAAAAAATCACTCATTTTACTTTGCATCAGCATACATGGGGCTTCAACAAGAAACAGAGAAATCTCACAGCCAGAACTGTGATCATTTTCTTAAAGGAGTTTAATGAATAGTAAAACCCCAGTAGATCCTGCAAGTCTCAAGAAGATACAGCAAACACATGAAGCAGGTCTGCCATGCTATGTTACATGTTCATTTTTTGCACCATCTCTGTCAAAATGGTTACATACCAGTTTAAGTTACTTCCATGATAGCTGGAGAGCCTTCAGAATAGTTTTTGCTGTGTGTTTTTTAAAACAATGTCACCATGCCACAGCCAGTTATAGTGGTCAATCCCAGAGCAGTTAAAATACTTTCACATGGCTGCAGTAAGAAATCCAAGTCTTCTTGTGAGACAAACTAACACCGCTGGTTGTTTTTTTATGCTAGTTGTACAACCAGGTTTTAAGTAGTGGATGGAAGACTCTATATCCAGGGTGGGAACATCTGGCCCAAGTGACAAAAGCAGTTGTCCAAGCCTCTCTATCTGGCCCTTGGGATTCTTCCCAAACTACACGCTCTTTCTAACCACCTCTGACTCTGCCCTCTAGTCCTGCACTGCAACCTCCTTGAGTGTTTTTGACTGGCTGGAATATGTCCTTGAACTCTGATGATGCATTTTGCTTGCCTTGACTGGGGACAGAGACGGATGCATGAGTTTGTGTAGAGAACAGCCTACTATATAAAGGGGGGAAATTCATTTTTTGCTCCACATACTTTTGCTTCTGTGTGCACCACTGGTGTGTGTGGCCCCTAGAAAATTGCTGAGAAGGAAATGTGGCCCTCAGACTAAAAAAGGTTCCCCGCCTTTTTTATGGTGAGGTAAAGGAAGAAGTCACTGTAGAAATGCACACAATTAAGTTAACCTTATTCTGGAAGCAGAATATTTGTTTATATATATTTTTAATTAAAGAACTCTGTCTTGGGGAGGAAATAACTCCAATAGCTACACTGAAGTGATTAAACATAGTAAATTTCATAGTTTACTTTTCCTTTTTTTATTTAAAAATTTTATTCTATTTTTCTTTCAAAAAAGAACTCCAAAATTGATAAAAGTTAATCAAATTAATAACCGATACAAAATACAATAAAATCAATAAGAGTTTTATAACAAAAAAATGAACATGACCAAAGCCACAGAAGCAAACAAAAATGAAAGACACAAAAAAGACAGTGGGGAAATCAGCTACACAGCCATTTGCCAAAAGCCAAGTTGTGCAATCCCAAAGACCCTGCCTTAACAGCCAAGATGTCACTGTATGGCAAAACCACACAGTGATGGGAGTTACATCAGCATTCCTAAGGGCAGCTAGATTCCATGACTGAGAATCTGTACCTGCCTGCACATCAGACACACAGAGCAAGACACAGAACCTCAGGTTTGATCTGAGCATGCAGACACAAATGTACAAGGAGTCACTCAATTAAAAAAAATGTTTTTTAAGATTAGGACCAAGACATTGAACAGAGTCTGGAGACAAGCAACTAAGCAGCACAGAAGAAACAATAGCCTTGTTTCTTCATAATGGTAAATCATATTTACCCTATTTCTAATTTAAAAGTACTAAAAGATATGTGTGTGTGTGTGTGTGTGTGTGTATTACACATATATACACATACACTGTGTGTATGTGTGTATACACACACACACACACACATACATACATACATACACACATATACCTAGAGGGAGGGGAAGCAATAGTAACCAGTAAAATCAGTTAGGTTATAGGCTGAATCTAAGTTTAAAGGAAACAGCATTTGACAAGGTAATACACAATAACTTTAAAAAAAACTGTTAGTGTTGGAATTAAAGACGCTACCTGGAAGTCATCATAAGGGAAAAGCAGCATCTCACGCAAGGCATCATTGAGGATTTGAGTTTTCTTTTGAACAATGACATTTTCATAGTCTATTGGTTCAATGAGCTTTGGTTTTGCCTAAAAAGAAATAGAAATATTTAAGTTATTAGATAACACAAATTTATTTATAAATATGTGGATTTATATATACCCATGGGCTACTGCAGCACAATTCTACACATTAAGCTCCATTTAAAGTGTGTATAGGATTGCAGACTTAATAAAGTTAGAATACCATAGAAACAGAGTTTGAACTGAACTACAGATAACAAAGTGTTTGTATAAAAAACAATATAGCCAACATGTGTGGAGAAATGGCTGTACACAATGGAGACACAAGTCAAGTTTTACTTAAGTTCAAAATGCTTAACAAATTATGCAGGTTTATTTATATAAAGCAATCCAATCCTTTTAATCAGCACAGTATTATGTCATTAAGCTGATGCTTCACTTTATCTAATAGCTGCATTATTCTCAAGTATTCTCCTAGTTTACAAATGAGATATTTTACTCTTATCACTGAATATTGTGCCGCCTTTCTTAACACAAGGCAAACACCTCTAGTATATTTTGCTGCAATTAAGCAACCTGATTCTAATGGCTTGGAAATAACTGTAATGACACTATCTAATCCAACTATCTATCCATTATACATACATACAATTTAAGCAAAATTACTCTACATAACATAGATAAAGAAACTATGCCAATTATTGCCCAACTCCAAGTGAGCAACTGATTATTTTTAAAGAATCTCTGAACAAAAAAACAAAAAAACCCCTTTTGGATCATGGATCCAGGTAAACCTCTAGCTGAAACTGTGAATACTAATTATGCTGCAATAGAACACTTTACATGTCTTGATAAGGTTTTTATTGCTATCTAGAAAGGCTCTAGTTGTGTAAATACCATGGAAGGAAGCTTGCAGAAAATAGTACGAGAATGGTTTAAGTTCACTTTTTTTGCTTGAATTCCCATAAAGTATTTTTCTTCTGTATGCTCCTTTTACTGGAAAATATGTAAACTTTCTCTGTATCAGCAACACTATGTGGGAATTTACTGTAAGTCCCAATATTTAACAATTACATGAAGTAAATTAAGGCAAATCAGAAGACTTTTTTCAAAGATCATTTTTTTCAGAGGAAGATACAGCATATGTTAAGATTTTCTTCAAAAAAGGCTTCTTTGGAGACACACTGATCTGCACACAGGTTAGTCAAATTTAATTCAGATTTTCTAATATCTACCACATGGGAACATTCCTGTTAAATAAAACGTCATATTGGATGGAGTTCAAAAGAACAAAATGTTATATTTGGAAAGAAACACTATCAAAGGAGAGGCTAGAGAACTGGGAGTGTGCAACTAAGTTTTAGTTTTTGTTTTTTTACAGAGAACACAATACATTATCACAAAAAAGAAAAGTATGCTTTAATTGTTTGTATAGCGGAGCATACTTAGTTCAAAGAATAATAAGAACACCCACATGCAAAATAATAGGCAAACTTAACTTCAAAAGTAAACGTAGAAACTCTTGACGACATAATAAAATAGACCAAACCCTAAAGAAATACAAGGCGCACACACACACACACACACACACACACACAGTTTTTCTGGTTGAAATACAACTTGACCATAATATCCCACTTGTTACTCAACAGCTAGATAACTAAATCATTACATTTCTAGTTATACAGACATATTTTCGCCGAAACCACCAGCAAAATCTAATGATTTCTGCAAATGAACAAATCAGGATGAGACTTATTAAAGCAGTTGACCATTGCCAATGAATGTGAAAGATAAATTCCTTTAATCAAGGAACACTGATTTAAAAGAACATAAAGGTAACTGACCCTACTCTGAGAAAGGCGTACTGCAGAAAAGTATCAAAACTTTAACAGACATGATATAGCTACCCATCTAGGTTCTATTAGAAACAGATTGCCGTGACGTAGGTATTTCACACAACTGTATGTGAAAGCAATAACCGCATATGATAGCAAACCAGAAATGTTTTCATTGTGCTATATAGGAATAAATAACTTTTATGTGTATTATTTATTTATTTATTTATTTATTTAAATATTTCTATACCACTGTATCATAAAAAACATGAAAGCAGTTTACAATAAAATCTATATAAAATACAACACATAGACATTTAAAATCAGTGACCATCAGTTTTCTTAATTGCCTGCATAAGCCAGGTGGCAGATTTTAAATGCTAGAATGTGTACAGTTAAGAGTTGCAGCAAATTTTCTGCATTGCTTCTAAGACAGAACCATGAAGGACTCCAGAGACATTTTCCCAAAAGAGTATTGTAGACACAAGTTTACTTAGTACTGTATCTTCATTTTTCTCTCAGTGTTTGAAACAGCAACAGCACGGCGCAAAGGAGTAAAACACAATAGAAGCCATTTGGCTTGAACATTCTAGTATTAGGACACAGATAGATCAACTTTTACTTGAGCTTTTGAGCCAATAAAAGCCAATAAAAATCTGTGGGTGAGCTATTTTTGTTTACTCCTAATCTAAATTTAATTCAGAATCTTTTTCAAAGGAAATTGTTTCTCAATTTAACAGTATTGCTGCTAAATTTGTTTCTGGTTTTAAATAATTAGCCTGCCTTATAAACAGAGGATGGAAAGGGCAGCAGCAGAGCAAGCCGATCAGGCGCCTGGGGGTGGTCGCGTGCCCTGCGCCCAAGAGTGGGGCCAACCACCCATGGAGCAGGGCCAGCCGGGGCAGGACACTCTGCGGGGCCTCCGGAGTCTACCTGCCGCCTCCCACTCTGCTGCCCTACAGCTGAGGGGGAGGCAGCGGGCAGACCATTTGGCAGAGCGGAGCCCGGGCACGCTCAAGCCCCATGTGTCTCCCAGGAGAGACGAGTGGCTCGGGCGCGCTGCAGGCCCCCCGAGTGCCGCCTGGCATTTTGTCACCACCCTCAGTGGTGACACCCAGGGCAACCGCCCCCACTGCACCCCCCTTCCTCCACCCCTGGGAAAGGACACTACATGGTACTCAATGATAGCATCTCTCTTCTAGCTGAGATCCAATCACACTCCTTCATGTCAATTAGTTCCATTAGGTGCTACTAACAAATACTAGTTCTTCGTTAATCTCAAAAGGGAAACAAGCTACCTAAAGAATCTGTTACCCTTGTGCATAAACTGCTAACCATAACAGTTATTTCCTCCACCAAAGAAAATATACACGAACAAATGGAAGAGCTAGATTCTGTAATTTGTACTTTTCACACCACTGTTTAGATTAATGATACTATGGGGTGGGGAAATAATGACTATTAATCCATGATCAAATACAGTGGTACCTCGGGTTACAGACGCTTCAGGTTACAGACTCCGCTAACCCAGAAATAGTACCTCGGGTTAAGAACTTTGCTTCAGGATGAGAACAGAAATCGCGCTCCGGGGCGTGGCAGCAGCAGAAGGCCCCACTAGCTAAAGTGGTGCTTCAGGTTAAGAACTGTTTCAGGTTAAGAACGGACCTCCAGAACGAATTAATTACTTAACCCGTGGTACCACTGTACCCACTTGTTACCACTGGGAAGCAGAATGATACTGAAGCTCTTTCACAAGTAGTGAAAGAGCTTCCAGTTGCATACATCCAGAGAATGCAATTCACATATGCAGATATCTTCCAGATCAGCCATACTACAGGTGCAGAAGCCAACTGTGGGGAGGGCTATGGGTGAACCAGTTAGTGCTGTGTCTCAGACACAGCTGCCTGTATGTGCACACTTGAACAAGTGCCATCTTTGTGCTCTCCTCACCAGTCTAATAGGTAAACATGCGAGAGTCTTCACTCTAAAGCTTCATAATGCCAATCTGCAATAGGAGAAACACAACTAGAGGCACACCCTTCCCCTGTTTATACTCCTTCAACTGTGGATCAGCACTGTGTTAAGCTCCTGCTTCAATTCCAGTTGGCACTGTAAGAGAACAAGCCCATCTATGCAATGTTCTCTTGCTTGTGTGGTTCTCTGGACAAGGGCCCAGGTCTATTAGCAACACTAAGAAAGAACACTGGTTTTATGGTATCAGGTGGAAATATCTCCTACAAACACAGCTCAGACTATTGTTTTTAAATATGCTTCCTGAAATTCTATTTCCTGAAAGCTTCAAAATAAAGCATATCATGGAAAGTTTCCTATGAAAAAGGCATCTGGTGAGATTACAAGATACTGATAATAGCACGAAAAGTTCAAGCAAAGTATACGCACACAATGTAAATGAGAGGTTCAAGCCCCAATAAATACACATTTCCAATAGAAAAATAACTAATTAAAGCAGCTAGAAATATTACCGTTAAAGCCAAGCCTGGAAAAAGTTACAACCTCCTTCTTTCTTCCTCAGTGTGGACAGTTATATTCCAGATCTCTACCCACAACCAGTTTTAAACTCCTTTCCTCATTTACTTTACTATAAAATTTGTTGTTTGAATACAAGTAAAAGTTATTCTTCCCTATCATGACAATGTTTTAAGATTTAAGGCACTGTACATATTTACTTCTATGTTCTAGCAAAGTAGTTAATCTGTTGAAGAAAAAGCTAAGGTTTACGAATAACTGGGAGATTATTTGTTGTTTGTACTGACATGTGTTGATCCAACAAAATAGGATTATTTCGCCCTTTCATCTTGCAACCACATGTAGGTACACAATAAAATAAAGAATGTATTTCAAAGCCTATTGTCCCAGAATATTAATAAAGCAATAAACTGAAGCCAAATCCTGGTAAAATGGAGGCTCTGTGGGTGAATGGCTGTGCTGTTCTGGATATAGGTCAGTTACCTTTTCAGCATGGGGTTATGCTACCTCTGAAGGAATATTTATATAGTCTAGGAGTACCTCTTGATCTGTAATTGTCACTGGAGGCTCAAGTGGCCTCAGTGGCCGGGAGTAGTTATTCCTAGACATTGGTAACATTGGTAAAATCACAACTGAATTATTGCAATGAGTTCTATGTGGGACATAATACCTGTGTTGAGAAACTGTCAATAAGATACTGGGCCAAACTTAATATTTTACTGTTTATATATAAAGCCCTGC